TGCCCTCTACTCTCTCCATTCAAAGTCTGCACTGTTTGTGATCAATGAAAGAACCTTGGCATTGACGGACTGCTGCTTTTCAGATTTCTTTTTCTACATCTCGGTTCCCTTGTCTTCATTTACCTTGAGAATCTAGTGCTGCAATTCTGTGGATGATCCAGACACTAATTGAATTCACACTTGAAGTAAAACTTGGAGTCAAAGGGAAACACTGATCTTAAATTGACTATTGATCAGCGGTTATCTGTGAATTACAAGCGTTAGTTTGAAAAATACAAGCAAGTATTTGGAAAGTTACACACTTACAAATTTTAGGGGTTTAAATTTAATTGGCTACTAAATGTCTCTCGTGCAGCTGTGTGTCAGTTCGGTGTCGTGCACGAAGGAGCGCGCATGTGACTCTGAGTTGACAGAGAGTTGAGGGTTGCCGTTCAGTTTGAGCTGAAGTAAACGCGCCACAGCCCGGCTGAGAGTGAGTCTGGGTGTTTACAACCCATGACAAAGCGAGAGCATTATACAAAAACAGAATGTGGCACAAGTTTAATCTCCATTGTCTCGTTTTCATCATCTTCACAGGCTTTTAACGTGTGTCAGAAATGTGTCCGAACCTCCACCGCTCTTTGGTTTAAGATAGCATTGACTTTGAATCGTTTCACTTCAAGTCTTACCTCGGCAAGAATCCAACAGTTGCTCTCAGTTCTGGTGGATAACTGATGTCGAGGCAGGGGCATGTCGCAAACATCAGTATGAGGGCAATGCCACTGCAATCATGAAACGTCTCGCTGTTGGAGGAGAACTCCCTACGGCACACAACAGAGGAAAGAGTCAAAGATAAAAGAACAGACTAACATGGTGACTGTCAAAAAACTGCTGTAGAAATATTTTGCCATTATTTGGCTACAGCTTTGCACAATAACAAGAAAACATTCACATCTTTATAACGCTCTTATCCGAGTTTTACCTTCAGATCATTCATTTAGTTGTTTATTTTTACTGGTGGTCACATGGTCAATTACGCAATCAGTGAATGGTGGTGCATGTAGAATCCCTAAATGCTGAAAAAGCTCGGCATGACCCCAGAGAGCCCTGATGTTTTGTTTCATGACCTCTTATTCCCATCAACAGTCTCAGTTGTTTGGTTTTCAAGGGCGTCTCTCCCATCTCTATCAACAAGGCAGGTAATGGAGTAGTGTGAAACGCCCCAGCGTATATTCTCAGGGCTTTAGCTTGTACAGTATCCAATTTTTTAATCACTGTAGGTGATCCATAAGCCATGCATCCATAATGAATAACCGATCTAATCATTGCTCTATTAATCATCATTGACTCTCTGTCAGCCCTCCAGTCAGAAACTGCTACACACCTACGAACATTTATGATTTTTTTCACACTTCTGTTTGTACTTTTCACATCATCCTTTCATCCAACCACAATCTCCATCTCATGTAGGTCACTTCCAACCCTCACCTCTGCTGACCTTCTAACAGATTTTTCTTTTCTTGAATATTGGGAGGCGTTAGTTCTCTGGAGAATCACAAAGTGATTCATCAAATCTCTTTCATCCAGCGGTTGATTCAGTCAGTCATACATTCAGGTGTTGACCATGCCTTCCTCAGTACAATGACCTTTTAATGTTGACTCTCATTCATTTCCTCTGCTCCCAGCGTTATATGGAGAGAATAATAGTCATTTGACTGATATCAAGATACAATATGGACACGATCCTCGACGGCTGTATTACTGCAACCTGCTCTGTTTGTAAATAAATGAGTTGCAACATGATGGCTTTATGAACTATTCATAGAGTCAGTGTCATAGTTGACTGATGTGTGTAAACATGCCGCTGGAGGAATAGTGGTTACATAACATCCTTAGAAAATGAAAAACGTACACGTCATAGGTGCGCTCCTATACTTAAACAAACAAATAGCACTGCACCCCTGGAAGGGGGGGGGGGGACTTAAATGTGTGGTGGGTGTCATGGTGTGATAGGTGTATGGGAATGTGTGGGTTTGTTTGGAGACGGGATCAAAATGAAAACATTTCAACTCGGTTCTCTTCAGAGAGCTTTTACAGGTTTGGGGTGGAGGGACGGACAGACAGACAGACAGACAGACAGACAGACAGAAAGACAGACAGATAGATAGACGGACAGACAGAATGACAGATAGACAGATAGACAGAATGACAGACAGAATAACAGACAGACAGACAGATAGATGGACAGACAGAATGACAGACAGAATAACAGACAGACAGACAGACAGACAGAATGACAGACAGACAGACAGAATAAGACAGAATAACAGACAGACAGACAGATAGACGGACAGAATGACAGACAGACAGACAGATAGACGGACAGAATGACAGACAGACAGACAGACAGACAGACAGACAGACAGACCGTATGTCCCAATCAGTGAGGAACGTGGGATCAGAGATCAGCCACTTCAAACAGAGACAGGGACACACAGACGCCCGCCTGCCTGGTTAGCTTTGTGTCTTTGAATGGCAGCCGACAAGCATGAAGACATTGGCGGGGGGGGGGGGGGCACCAAGACAGAAACCGAGGCAAATTTAACTCATGGTGTCAGCCTAATGAACACTGATAAATAATGAGTCTTTATGTTATAAATAGTCTTACTGTTTGGACATGTGCAAGCTTCCCAGTCTGGAGTTAAAAGATGATCCAAACCCTGGCTGTTCTCTTCTCTAAGAACAGAGGAATGATGATTAAATGTCTCAGACCTGCGGCGTCAAACTCAGTGTCACTGAGCACTGATATGCACCTTTGATCCACGATTGATCTCTTTCACCCAAGGTCCCCGCCATGTGTTCAAACTACTTACTGGTTTCACTTTTACCAGCTTGTTGATCTATTGATTTTATGAACTAGAGAGCATGCGGAGGCTGCGGATTTCCTCCAAGGACATGCAATCCTCCTAAATTTGTTATTTCTGTGACTGAACATGACTAAAACATTTTATTTGCATCCAGATCTGAGCTCGAGTAAACAGTGAATCATGGTGATTTTTATGAATGTTTGGGAAGGTAAGAGGTTTGTACGAGGATGAATTGCGCACAATCTCAAGCGGGATTTTGACTGAAGTGAAATGGGCTCCAATGGAAAAGGTGATGTTATGTACGTCTGAGCACCGGGGCAGGATGCAGCATTGTTTGAATCTAACTCTGAACAACTGGTGGGCTGTTTGCTCATGCTGTGTGCAGTTCATCAAATCACACCAAAACAGTCCTGATGATGCAGATCAGCTGATTTTTTTTTATTTTTTATGTGAAACCTTGATAATAATAATTACTATCCTTACTGTTAATACTATTATTATTATTCTTATTATTAGAGAAGTAATTTTTTTTTCAAACAAATGCCTAGGATCTGACATCAGCTTTTTCAGAGGTTTAATTTTTTTTTTATTTTATGCACCAAATTTGTTAAAGATTGAATGAAATGTGTAGCACAGCTGAAGTTGTTTTGTGGCTTAGTGAACGACTTGTTCAGATGCAGCAAAACCTGAATTTTGTTTTTACACAAAGAGACAAAACATCAAGTGAACCCAAGGTTTTTGAGATGTTAGGGCAACCGGATTTGGGACTGAAACCAACTTGACTAAAGTAATAAAGTATTGATTTTTTTGATGTCTATGGCCTGGGTAAGAACAATGAGCCACAACCAAAATGAATCAAGGTTATTGGCTAGTGAAAGTTTTATTTTCCACCATTTTACTTAGAAAAGATGTCTTACGGTCTAACCTGAGAACAGTGAGGCTGCTACAGAGAGGAAAGGAGTCTTTTTTTTTTTCTTTCTTTTGCCCTTTCAAAAAAAAAACCAAAAAAAGGAAAAAAAAAAAAAAGAAAAAAAAAAAAAGGATTAGCCACGAATGACCTTTCATTTGTGAACATCAGCCTTCCAAAGCATTATTCATGTCTTCACATTCTCTGCTGTCCTCTCACTGAGGTGTAGAAAAATCCTACTGCAAAACATCTATCATTCAACTTTGCCTAGGAGCCTTGTTTGATAGATCAGACACTTGCACTATCCGTATCGGGTTTGGATCTAGCAGTAGTAGCAGAACAGCACTTCCAAAGCGCAAGCTGTTAACTGACAGAGTCAGAGGTAAGAGATATTAAAATGTGATAAGTCTGCCTGATTTTGCCAGGGGTCTGAGTGTTGGTTTTGCTTTGTTGCATCCTGAGCTGTTGATACAAGGAGAAGCACTCGTGCTCTGGTAAGTGGCTCCGAAGCTTGATATCTCTCTTCCACTTTCACTCACACGGCCCCAAAGCGGAACAAATACACATCATGGATATTCATTCACAAAATCATCAGCAATGTTAATATCGGCTTTCTGCTGTTTGTACAGCCAATTACAGTTTACTTATTGTTCGCCTGAGCGGGTGGAAAAATGTGAGATCACTTCCAAGTTTCCCACTTTCCAACTATTCCATCTTTTCATGGAGAATGAGTTGTGCTCAACTAAGAAGTGCAACAGAGAATTTCTGTATACTCCTTTTCCATAGTGAGCAGAGTCTTTGAGTACCGCTCTCCAGGGTGCCTCTTCCCCCCCTTGTGCGTCGAGCTCCATTTGAAGTGTTGCAATACCAAAATAGAGCAAACAGCTTGAAATGAAACATGTGGGGATTATTCCTACACATACTGAGACACAAGTAAATCACACGTGAACAAAAGATGAAAATAAAACCCACAGTACCTATATATATATATATATATATATATATATCGTTTGGCAAAAGTTGGAATATGCTCTGCGCTCCTCTCCAGTCCACAATCCGAGGCGCTGGGTTTGTCAGTCGTCTGCGTGTTCCACACTTGTATGTTTCCGTGTGTAATTGAAAAGCATTTAAAACAGTTGGATCTTTACAAATTATTTTGGTGACTTTTTGTTGAGTTATTTTTCCGATTAAGCAAATGCCCAACAATTCAAGTATACCACTATTTTTTTTTTTTTTTTTTTTTTTTCTCTCCAAAATCACGCTTCAAGATTGCACACACTTCATGGTAATTACTATGACAAAGGGCCAGCATGAAGTTAATGAGTTATTGATTGTTTACTCCCAGACATAATCTGCTCTAACATTCTGTAACATCTGTATTAAAAAATGAAAAGTGATATTTACATAAATCAGCCCAAAAGCAAAGGCCAGCACAGCTCCTTGTTCGTCTTTGGGTCTAGATAGGCTGTGTGTCGCATTATTTTCTGTCTGCGGAATCATAATGTTTTGCATACTTTGATGTTTCTTTTCACTTAAAATTCAATCTGCTTCTCTGGGGTGCATGAGCTTCAGTGTAACTGGTCTCCATCAAGGCTTCTGTCAGCAAGCGGACTAATAAATTAAAGCAGCTAAAAACAACATATTAATACACAACTCAAAAACACAAACAGAATAAAAGCATAGACTAAGTCAAAATTAATAATTGGAGGGGGAGGAGGGGGAGGAGGTGTGTGTGTGTGTGTGTGTGGGGGGGGGTGGGGGGGGGGGTACACTGACAGGAAACAAAGTTAAATGACAAACTTCATAGTCCATGAGTGAGGCTACATAAATACAAAACAAGGGAGGAGTTCAGCAGAGGTTGTCTTTCATAGCTAGTGCTAGTGAAGCACTCTGATGGTGGTGAGTGGGCATCTTTTCTTGGAGCACGTTTCTACTGAGTTGTAACGGGGTGGTTATCTCAATATGATTGGAACAGTCAAGTACAGCCACAATTGGCCAGTGAAGGGTTCGCGACCTGGGAATCCAGGGAAGGATGCATTCACTAAAAAGAAAGTGATTCTTCACAAGTCCTTGTTTTCCTCATCATCATCATCATCATCATCATCATCATCATCATCATCATCATCTCGCCGCCTCTTCCGCCATGTCGGTTGTGTGTCTTGAGTGGTGGTGCTCGTCCCTGCTCTTTCCGTCTCTCCTTCACTGCGGTGGCGTCTCCCCAACCATCTCGATGCCGTGCTGCTGGAGTTGCGCTCGGAGCAAAGCATTCTCATTCTTCAGCTCTTCAATCTTAAGAACAAAGGACAAAAAAAAAAAAAAAAAAAAATCTCATTATCAATATCCTCATCCCCGTGACAGCTAAATATAGCTCCAAGTTTACAAACCAAACTTTTTCGTTTGAAGACTGAGCGCCGGCTGTGTGTAATGTACACACAGGGCTATGCAATCCCTGGGATTAAAGAGTAGTGTGTGCAGCCCTTTTTAAAGACACCGCTGTCCACAACCAACTGGATTATCACATCTTGATGAGGTATGTCATCTCCACTACATTTCCCTCGAGTGAATCCCAAATTCACTGCCTCCCAGCTGAGGGACTGAGGAAAGGATATTGAGCTTTGAGCATCAGAATAAGAATATATTGCCGAGTGCCTTGCAGGCCTGGGATTCAATGGGGGAGACGTGGCGGGCTCAGAGCTGCAAGATCTCACAATACTTTGAGTGCATTAGCATGCAGTTAGTTCTCACACAACCCCTGTGTATATTATTCCCACAGTCTCTCAAAGCACTGATTTCAGGTAACACTTCTCATTATATGAGTGCAAACTCTTTGATCCTCTTTGTCAGGCTGCGATGATCAGCTATACGGGCTGAAACCTCGAGGGGGTTTGTTTTGGAGAAATGAAGATGCATATGGGGCTTGGTGGTTTTCATGCGTCTGAGGTTTAAGTGAAAGGATGTAGCAAAGCAAACTCCAAAGCAAACTAATCAATTCAATGCAGTGGCAATCTTCATAGCCACATACGCAGCCCAAGATGGCTGCCTTATTATGTATAAGTTTATTTATCTGTCACACCCAACCACCTCAAAGGAAGATTTGGACATTATCATTCATAGACCTTCTTTACCCATTATTGAAGTCACAGAAACTTCACTTGATGCTACATTTGCAAGCCGCAGCAAAGACTGGTATTCATACCTGCTGCCTGCACAACTCATTGTCCACTTGTATCCTCTCCACTTCCTTCAGACTCTCCTGCAGTCGCTGGTTGCTTTGCCTCAGCTCACGGATGTAGTCACAAGCTTTGGACAGGATGCCACCTTTGCTCTAGAAGAACGGAGATGTTGTCGCACGGTCGGAAAGGTGACATTTTAAAACAGAAACATCATTACGAGGTTGGCAGCAGTAGTTAGGAGTCAAGGAAAAGACTGTTTACCGCTCCGGTCTTGGTGCTGTCCATACTGCAGTCTGGGATGATCTTGGAAAGGGTGACAATCCAGTTGTTGATCTTGTCTCTTCGCCGCCTCTCAACTGATGGAATGTTATAAAACAGGAACAGATTACAGAGATAAAAAAAAAAAAAAAAACAGGTATAAATAAAAGCAGAATTTCCTAATTTATCACGTTTATAATGAGACATCAGAGGTAATTTTGGTTTGAAGAGCTGCGGTTTCATTTCCAGGATGTTGTCATGTCAGTGATTGGAGGTTCCTCCTGACTTTGACAGCTAAACAGTATCCTCTAGTGGCCAGTCCTAAAACATATGCTGTCATCTATTCTTAATAGAATATTTTGACAGGGCTGGGTGTTTTTTTTTTTTTTTTTTTTTTTCAGCAAAAAAAAAACAAAACAAAAAAAAAAAAAACCCTGCTGTATTAAGGCACAACGCTGCATTGTGTTTTGCACCGTCTTATGAAATCAAAAGCCGCAATCATAGCTATCACACACCTTCATTATGTTGCGCTCTTCTCCTTTCATCTCTTGGTGTTCGTGGTCCATCCATTTTCCTGCAGACAGACGGGAAATAAAACAACTTTTCAAATACTACAACATCTCACATCTTTACCTGCCATACAATCAGATACAAATTCAATCTAATCCCCCCAAATTCACCTAATCTTGTGCCTATTAAAACCTGTTCTTCAATGTTATCTCTACATTCAAGCCTTTTGTGATCACATCCCTTTGCCACTACCAATGTGCTATTTAAAAAGGAGCCTCTGAAGTTGTGTAATGCCTTTGGTAGAAACACTGAGAGATACGCAGCCATATGAGGCTGTATATTCAGGGCTGGACTGCTTTGACTAGAAACCTGAGAACCACCCAACCTTCTTATTCTCGCTGGCTGTCCTCTTCCCAGGTGTGGCCCGGAGGGAGCGCATTGCTTTATTATGCTGTAAAATTACAGCACTGTAGAAAACCAGATGCTGTCTATTGGAGTCTGGGTGTACGGCTAATGACACAACTGTCTCTTGTCTCTGTGTCTTCCCTTAGGTATTCTGTTAATTAAGTTCCTGAGACGTGACAGGGAGACTTATCCAACCACCCGCCACGGCTTGAACAGGCCAATAACACACAGGTGGCTCGCATGGTTCTGTCTCACTATTAGAACAGAATATACTTAACTCACCAACCATGCTCAACCAGGCAAAAGAACAGAAACAGATCAGAAAAAATATCTTTTTCCATAGGAAATCTTGTTCTGAGACACGTAAGGGAAAGATAATTAATGCAAGTATTGTTTAGTGGACATGTCTGCCTATTCGTTACATGTAGTTAATAAACTGTAAGGTGACTCTCGCTCCTTGTCTTTCCTCCACAACACATCTTTATTCTACAGCAGTGAATTTGTGATCCATCAACACAACTCGACTGCTTCGTCTGAGATAGGCAGGCAAACCTAACTGCAGTCTCTCTTGTATCTCAAGACATCTTAATGGGATTTCAACTGTATTATGGATTCAGCCCAACAGTACTCTTAGGCAGAGCATTAAAAAAAAAAAATGTGGATGACTGTAGGAATAACTAAATGTACAGGTCTTTTTTTTTTTTCCTACTTTCACAACTTATGGAGGCACATCTCAAATAAGTGCTCCTGAGAGTTATTGCCAAAGGAATCCAGAAAATTAGCAGAGTGCAATTCCACAGCTGATGCACTTTATCCATATAATTTGAAGCATAGACTAAGATTGTAAAGTCTTATATTGATCTTTGAAAGAGAAATACAATTTTCACTTCTCCCTGCCTGGCTACAGTATTACACCAAGCCAGGGCCTGGACAATGAGCCAGGAAAGTGTTCATTGAGATACAAGGGACTGTAGCTCAGCCTTGAAATTCTGTCAATGGATGATATGAACAAAGATGAGCCTTAGTGAGCATTAACTGCTTATGTGCTGACAACTATGTAGAAGCGATACGCTGATATTGACAACATATGGTTTTCATGGGCTTAATTTGTCCCAAGATTCAGGTTTTTACAAATGTCAAATGTTGTCCAAATAGTGAAACCGCTAACTTGCTCCAAACTAGGCTAAATGAGAACAAAACTACAACAGAGGACACTTTGTAAATGATACTAAAATAAAAGTGCGGAGCGAGCCATTTGTTTCCAGATGGAGAACAATGACCTAATTTCTAAGTCCTAATGGAAAAAGACGTTTGCCACAAGCACAACTAACAACAATGGATCGAGGTCAGCAATGAAGAAACGCTACATCTGTGTCTCACACATCAAGAGCAGGGAGAATCACCGGGGACTTATGGGAAGGGAGAGGCGGAGAGGAGAGGTGGGCAGAGGTTTGTGTGCTTCTTCTCTCTTCTTGTGATCTAATTTGATTAGTTCATTTGCTGTAGGAAAAAAAAAATAAATAAAAGAGTGGGAGAAATGTGGAAACTGTCCTCACCAGTTTAAACCTTCATGTTGCAGCAGCTCGTTTTCATCTCTGCGAACGGCAGATAGGGTGGGAGGTTTTCATTCATTTTACTCACATGTCAATGATAATGTCACTGTTCATTAGATTACACCTAAATATAACTCAAGAGGCTTGTTTCAAAAATCATAAATAATTAATGTCAGAGGAAATAAATAGAAACACATATTACAGAAAGGCATTCAGAGATGAAAAAACAATTCTCTTCATGTTTCAACACAGCAACGCAGACATACACTGCAACAAAGCTTTCTTTACTCATGACTGGAAAGCAGTCTGTTGTACGCTGTGAACATCAAGCAACATCAAAAATGGCAGAGCTGCTGCCAGTTTTAAGGCGGATCTAGAACTCCCCGTAAAGCTGCCCACAAGAAAGGAGCTTAAATCTTTGAGAAATCTTTGAGAAGTTCTTGAAAATCACAGAAGCACAGAAGCAGTGAATATCCTTGTTGTCAAACCGTATACCGTGCATACCCAAATGGACAAACAATAAATGAAAGGCAGAGCCTGTTAATAGTGTGCTGTGTCTCCCGCTTGTGCAACGAGAAGGTAAATGTAAGTTTATATGTTCCCCACAGTTTCACAAGCTACAGTTTAAATATAAGCCTGGTAGAAAATGAGGGACCATTCACTTGGGTTATCGCTAACTCAATTTGATAATGGGTCATGTGTTCATTTTGGGTGACCAAACAAGCACATGGCTGTGCCTCAGCTTTTACAAAGCGAGGAAAAAACACAGATGACATTTAAGAATCCTGCACCCCTTATCACTATTACCCATGTGCCAGTTGGTACAAAAGTGCACTCTGAAAATAAAATAAACCATGCTGGAATTCTTTATCTGAATAAGTACCCGCAGCAGGCCAGAACCAGGCTGGTATGATGCAATTAAAATGACAACTCAGTTTGTCTTTGCTCAGGTGAGCCTGCTGATTATCTTAATAACAGCAATCACCAGCATGTGGCTAACAGTTGGAGTGAGTCTGTCATGGATTCTGTTTGGATGCATGATTATAATGATGCATGTTGTGAGTTTTAGAGAGAAACAATCTGAGAAGATTTCAGAGGAGAATGAAAAAGCAGGCCAACTGGGGTGTGCTAAAATGAAGATCCTTGATACCAGAATGATATTAAAAAAAATCAACCTTCACAGCGAACGAGGCGAGAGACGAGGAAGACTCCCGCAGGAGAAACACAGTCAGGAGTAAAAGAAGAACTACAGCAGCACTTCATGTTATTCAGCCTCACTGTAGTTAGGATAGGCGTGGAGGTTGTTCTATAGTCACATTTCCATACAACATCCATCATATGAAACTATATCAAACATCTAGGTTGTCCTTTTAAACAGTTCTTTCTCTCCGCCTACACTACTGCAACAAATTACACCCCTACCCATGTCTCAGCAGTTTAACTTCCACCACTTCCCCATCCTGCTCCTGCATTTCGATTTGTGTGAATTCAGCATGCTTTGTTCACTCATTATGTGTTGATGTTCATTTTAATGTCGTCGGGAGGGGAGGGGGGGGGGTTCTTGAACTGGCTGCCAAAGTCAAATGTGTGTTGTTGTTGCAATTATTGGCTAAAGCCTTGAAGGACTGATACTTACGCAGGGAAGGGCTGTGTGCGCGGGGCGATGGTTCGTTGCGTGCCTGTCTGAATGACGTCAGGTGGGGTCATCATCACGTAAAACTGACCTGTGGCTGTGAAGGGCATGGGAGTCATTAGCAAAAATTAATATGTTGTTTATTTTAAAAATCAAAAATGTGATTAAAAGATAACATGGCAAAATCTTGATGTAATTCAGTTGAAAAAAAGCCTCTAGCCTTTTCAAAAACCCCTTTCAAAAAAACAAAAAAAAAAAACTTATGATGAGGGACTCCTGCGCACAATCAGCAACTCTTTGGCATGTTTTGGTGAGAAATACTATAAAATAAAATAGAAAGGTCAAGCACTTCCCACCCCTGGGTCCAGAATGTGGTTCATCGTCAAAGCCTCCAGCACTATCCTCCACTATCCCTCACCTCATAGGAGAAGGCAGCTTGTAAAAGACTCTCCCACCTACACCCTACAGTGCACTCCTCAGCCAGTATGTCATGTCTGCTTAAACTGCCCGTGGCTCAGAGACGAGAAGGACAGCAGCCCACTTCCTCCTGCGAGGCCCTGGCTTTAACTGTCACCCACAGCGGAGAAACCTCATGGTCTTCTTCCCCTTCCATGGCATCGCCAGGCAGCCACTCACAACCCCCAGAAGGAGAAAAACACAACAAAACAAAACAAAAATAAAACTGCATTTCCCCAATGAAACCAGCAAGGTCAGTGCAGAGTGTTGGGCAATCACTCTAGTTTTCCAACCTCCTGTTACAGCAGATTTTCCCACTGAGTAAAGCCACAAGCTTAATGTTTTAAGATTCTCAACACACCTCAAGCGCTTAACTTCATACATCAAACTGCTTCAACAGTCAATTGATATGGCCTCAAGGGTGTCAGACTGCTATGGGTGTGTGTCATGTGATTCAAGTAGACACACAAAGCTCAGTGAGGGAGACAAGCAGGGTGTGTGGATGCGCTGCGTTAGCCTGACAAGCAAAGTAAGTAATCAGTAAATGATAGAATACATTAAAAAAATGCTAAAGGGGAACTCACCATGAATCTAATAGTTTGGGGAAACACAATGACCTTGTATAACCCTTGATCATGCCTGTACATTTGGTATTTTCTGGAATATGACTAAACTGCAATGTCTAGCTGGGAAAGATGTTGTTGGTTTACAAGCCTGGTTTATTTATTTTTTTTAAAAAGGCAAAAATGAGCTTAATAACTAACAGGCAGGATAGATGGTTTATTACTATGAAATGTTACGGTGTCATGTGCTGGTACGTGGCTGATTTTTGTGTAACAGTACCGCCACAAACACATGAGGGAAAAAAAAAAAAGTTTGTTACTTATTGTAAGCTATTGTATGCTTTGTTTTGTGGTCAGCGCTGCGTTATTCTGGGTGTATCTCATACACCTACATTATTTATTCTGTTGGATCCCACTTTCATCCCTTTTCAGACCTCAGGGCCAACAAGGCAGCAAGAAGCACAGAAACTCTGGATTATGAATTAAAAGTTCCTTCCATAACTCCTGTCCAGGCACTGCACTCTCCCTCATAAAACCTGAAGAAACCTGCAGTGTTCTGCTCCTCTAAAACCTTCAGAAAATAATCACAATGCACCACTTCAAGCGCCTGCCATCAGCAACACTGTGTCTGCTAGATCTAGATCTGGCTGAATAATACAGAACAAGCAGATGCTGATCGTGTATAACCGAACCAAAAGGCTACATCTTTTTCTCCAGGTCAACAAAGCCCTGACCCCCCCTCATGGAAAGCAGAGGACAGCAACCTGCAGCTAGTGATGTTCTCCAGATAACAACATATGGCAGTAAAGAGGAAGAGAAGAGCGGGTGGACATGTGACGTGGAGACAGTAAATATGATCAGCGCAACTAATTTCATTTCAGATAACATTTACAAAGACTGTTACTGTTAGAGGAAGCATATTTCAAACTGTTTCTGACATATTACTGAGCAAGGAATCTGACATTGAACAAAATATCCTGCTGAGTGCATATGACAGAAAATCTTTAATTATTTAAAGCCGTATTAAGCAGCATCTAAATATCTTTCAACAAACAAAAATACTGATGCACTGTTGGGGGACATTCTGTGTCCACCTGTATCACAAATCATGTTTCAATTACAGTGTCAGCGTGAAAGAGCAATATAACTGACAATCTACAGCGTCCTTCTTTCTTTCACATCAGCCAAAGCTGTGGGGATCACGGTCCATTTACAACTACTGAAAAAAGGACTGTTGCTCAGTTTGTCACTGAAAATAATGTCTAAATTAGCCCCGTAGCACTGTGGTGAGCTTCAACCCAAATTAAGTGTTAGAACTGACTCACCCCCTGCCTGTGTGAGTGTGGGGTCCGTGGCGGCCTGCACAGACACAGTCCCATCGCTCACCGCAGTTGCGGGGAAGTAAGCGAAGCGCGTCTCCCCTCCCACCGCCTCTCCTGCTGGGCTTCCTCCATTACTGAAAGGGTTTTGGATCACAGCCTGTGACAGATAAGACAGAGACAGAGGAGAGCTTGAACAAGTAGCAATGGAGCAGTCACAGCAGGTAAACGCACACCTCAGTCTCTGTCAGACTCAATTCCGGTATCCCCCCTAGACCCCCAAGAAAGACACAGTGTGGTTTGACAGCTGGGATAAAGGGAGAGGGGGAAAAAGTAGCAGTGATCTTGTTAGCAGAGATAACAACAAGTCCGGTAAAGCCATGAGTGCACTACAAAATGAAAACAAATTTGTTCTGTTCTTCCGAGGAAAAGTACATGTTTTTGACTAAAAACATGTTCTAAATCTGGCTGGAACTGTTGTGCATTAAATATTTAACTCTGCAAAGGCATCTTTAGTCTCTGTGAGTCACTCTGCTTCGGGCAGATGCAGGCACATGCTTCTTTACACCACTATGCTAGTTTTACGAGCTCAGAGGAGTTACCTACACTTGAAACTTTAATCAAAACAAAGGAAACTGGATGTCTCTTTCAGATATTTTTAGAAATGCTTGTAAAACACTGGAGTTGTGTGGCATCAGTGACATCACACTGTGCCTGCAGAAACACAACTTGTTATTAGGAGAAATTCATTGTTGGTTTTAGTCTTTTCCTAGCGAATGTTGGAAATAATAACACTGAAATAGCAAGTCTTATCCTTTGAGACATGGATAAAGAATACAGTTAGTCTTTAAAAACAGTCCGTGTTACCCGTGAGTTCTAGGGGAAGATTGAGGTACCTGAGCAACGGCCTGAGGAGCCCCAGTGAAGGCAGCTGTTGACACAACGCTCACTGCTCCACCCCCATCATCTCTTCCCTCGAGGTGCTGATCGGTCACCTGAACAACTCGATACGTCACCTGCAGGGTGGGATGAGACACGGGTAAAACAGAGAATGAGGGAACAAACAAACAAAATCAACACCAGTTGTTTTATGTAATTTTTTTTTACAGTCCCTATGGTGGGTTTACCATGCACAAATCAAAACAATCTTACCTGACTTGCAGATTTGTTTATCATATCTACTGCTTCAGTTCAGCTGAGCCAAGTATCTGACACTATATTCCCAAACTCAGTACTGCACTGCTCTCACCATCCCACACAATACGCCTATGCATCAGAATGTGCCTGATTCAATTTTAAAAACAAGTCTAGAAAATGAGCTTGTTAGTTCCAAGAATCAGTATTTGTATCCCTCCGTCATGTGACTCTCCACCTGACTGACATGTGACAGCAGCCACATGCCAATCCTAGACCAGACTGGAATCACATGATCGCTGTCAAATGAGCCGCATGGATCATTGACTTAATTCCCTCCAATGTAAATCATCCATATAAGGATAAACCAACTTGTATTTCACACTACTTTTTCCAGTTTACTTATTTGCATCACTGACCACCGATGCTGTGAATACCACCATATTAGTGGACAGCAAGGAGACACTTTTGACAAAGGTCACCAGTCAATCATGGGACTAGAAAAAGGAAAGCACACATTCAGACCTTCAGGCAATTAAAAGCTTGCCATCCTCCTGACTTGTCTTTGGAACAGGGGAGGGATTTGACGCACCCGACGAAAACACACAATAGTGTAAGAAAACGCAAACTTACACAGACAGACAAAACTATTCATGGGAGGAACTCAGGTTTTCTCACCATGAGGCGACAGCACTTACACCAAAACAATCAGAATGACAACGCTTAAATCACAATGAGTGCTCTAAATAATGAATACATACACGTGGTACAAAATGTTGTTTACTGACAATCATTTGATCTTCCACTGTCTTGATGCACTATGCTAAGTGGCTAAATCCTTTCAACTACATTTATCAATATGTAATGTGACGCTCTATCAGAAGCTAATTATGTCTCTGCACAAACACCCCTTGGACATTTATTCAACATGACGTCTAAAGTACTTTTTTGTGTTATGAGCACTGAAAGGATGCAATCTTACCCTAAAACTCTAGGCCCATATGACATTAAACGCACTGAGTGTCTTTCTGAAATGGGCTGTAAAACAGAACAATCAAATGTAGTGTCACTATCCCATCCGTTAGTTACTTACCTGCCCACCCTCAGTGCGGAACTGATATTGTATGTTATGGTCACCAAATGCTGCAGCCTGCTGAACACTGGCTATTGTCACAGCTGTCTGCTCTTCTCCTGTTCCGTCTGAGGCAGCAAAGAAGACAAAAGCCAGTTGTGAGAATGGAAAACTAATAAAGACAGCTACCAAGCCCTGTGTTCAGCTGCATAAAAACAGTATTGCCACTGCATGTTTAACAAGATAATGAAATACATGCGATTTTGCTACACGTCTTATTTACCAAATGAGACAGTTCATAATTATGTTGTAACGATCATTGTATGCCTTGGGCTATTAAACAACCTATACACATCACTGCTGTGCAGGTTTCAAATGTTGTCAATGACGGTTTGGTACATAACTTCTCACCTTCAGATACTTGGACAACTTCTTCTTCTTGTTTGTCTTGGCTGCAAACCAAATACACAGATAAGTAGTTTTAAAAAAACAAAAAAACAACGCAACCAGCTTACCTTCTTGGGGATAAAATTAATTAATAAATTAGTTACCCTAAACTTCGCCTTTCGTGATGCAAAAATCGTGCAAGAAGTCAGTCAACCAACAGAAAAATCGCAAAGTAAAACACAACATTGCTACTGTTACCTACAGTGGCTGACAACTGAGTTTTGTTTTAATAGCTAGCTGAGGCTAACTTAGCTGTTATACTGCTATAAGCTAATTATGATCATGTTTTTTAAAACTTGACGTTTGTCGTCTAGGATACGACTAGTCGAGTATCTCGCTAGCAAAGTCTCCCACCTCTCTTGCTAACGTAAGTACAGTCTTTACATTGAAATCGTTTTGACAACAGTTTTTTTAGGTCAGGCCTTGTTTAGCGCCGTAAACTAGCTATCCGAAATAGCATGTTGTAGCTAGCTTGTCTCAGTTAGCCATTTTGACCGACTCTCGGTTACCTTGCGGTGTCCAGACTCTGTTCAAGCATATCCATCAGGGTTACAATAAAAGTGATATTCGGTGTCACAGACGGAGATGGAAGTGCTGATCACGGGAACAAACACTCGGGTCATGTGAGAGAGACAGCCCAGGACACGTGAGGTATGGCTCGGTGTCGAAGTTAAAATGGAGGCCGCTGCTGCCGCTGGGTGATCCGAGGTGACTCCGCTCGGATCAGCTGACGCGCTGTAGGATTTGCAGTTCACCGGTGACCACGGTCATCACGTTCAGAGCAACTGTTTCTCCCACACGAAAACTCTGACCACAACATCATGAGACATTGCCAGCTAATGTCATATCTGCGATGATGGTCAGCTGAAGGGACAGTGGAAAGGACAAAAACAGTTACAACAGACCATTAAAAAAAACAAAAAACAAAAAAAACAACACTGAATCGTCTGTCTGTGACCTGGGAGCAACATAACTGTCTGTAAATGGATGCATCTGTATAAAGTATCTTTAATGGGTAATTTTAGATGCATTAGGTAAAGGCTCGTTTAATGGTCTGGCTCTGAACTGAACAAGTGAAACGTTTATGATACTTTAATATTATTACTATTGATCCCCAGAGACTGAACATACCAGTTATTTGATACCAGAAACCAGAAGAAAGATCTAAAGATTAAAACGAGCTTTGGATTCCGATGTAGGAGACACTGCATTTTGCAACCAGCCTTCATTCTTCATTCTCCGGGGATCAATAATAATAATATTAAAGTATGTAGTAAGTAGTCTCTTTTCAGTTAAACTCCGTGTCCTCTTCTAAATCTCTTCTTAAAGCTCACTGTTATCTTATAACCTTTTCTTAACCAATGGTATTTCTTGTAATTCTTTTAATTATTTAGACTGTACTTGTTTTAGATTCATGTTTTAGGTTTATTACTTTTATTCTATTTTTTTCTTTTTTTTTTTTTACAGTGAGGCACTTTGTAACTGTTTGAAACGTGCCCCATATTATTATTCATTTCAATTTTAATCACTCTTACATTGTCAATCAGTTTGTAATTTTGTTTTTATTGAAAAGTTATTAAGTTTATTTAAGCAAGGAAAGTCAATACGTCCAGTAACTCACATGGAAAAGTGTGTGTAAAGTGCTGTGCTCATACTTTTGCTGAGTGTTCAGGTTTAAGGTATTCTGCCATGGCCCATAACATGCACTCACTTGCCAGTTTATCAGGTACATCAAACTAATGCAGTCTAATACAACAGCGACAATAAATCGTCAGTTTTTGTTGAAAGTGCTGAGAGGCAGTGAAACCTGGCAAGTTATTTAAGATTATGGTCATTTAGGATGCTGTAGTTTGACATAATAGTCTGACATCGCTGAATTCTGTAATGGATGTTTCTAATATTTTGTGCATCCTGTTTATGTCAGTGAGGGTAGACTTTTGGAAATACCTCTCAGTATACAATGCAGTATATTTTAATAGCACCTAAACTACAGCTTTGATACATCTTTGATATTAGAGACTTGTTCTCCAAGGAATAGCCAGACATAATTAAAAGATAAATGTCAAAATCTTAAACTGTCATCACAGGTCACTAAGTCATGCTTATGTGTAACTTGGAAATGTGTCATTTAAAGCTAAAGTGACTTGACCCACACTAGACTCAGTTGGCAGTTTATTAGGTACACATAGATAAAACTAATGCAGTCTAAAAAACAGTCCTGCAACAAAACCTACCTTCAAGAAGGTTATAATGTTCAGGTTTTATTGAAACTGTTTCAAAGATGTGTTGATTCAACTTTATGGTCATTTTGGAGGCTACAGTTTATGGTGCTGTTGAATTGTATCGCATTGCATGGACATCCGTTTCTATTATTTTTCCACGCTATTTATATCAATAAGGGTAAAAATAAACACCGCTCTGTTAAATGCAATGCAGGTCAACAGTACCACAAACTACATCCTCCAGAATTATCATATAGCTGAATCAAGATGTCTCTAAAACTGTTTCAATAAAAACAGACCATTATAATATTCATGAGGTTAGGATTTATTGAAAGACTGTTGTATTAGACTGCATTAGTGTGAACTTTGCCCCACATAAAGCGGAACCTTTCTTCTTCGGGTTTTGTTCACGACACAGCTGTGTGAAGCACCACATTATTCACAGGTAATTTGCATTAATTCGCACATTTTAAGCACTTTGAGCAATAAGACAATCGATATCGTACATCAAGAGAGATTACACGCTCATTATTAACAACACTAAACAGGTTTTTAGCTATTATTCACTCACTTGACTGAAACAGCGGCATCGACCTACTTTGTGTTGAATTTAACAACGAATTCAATCGTATCTCGGCCAATTGAGAAGGGAGAGTTGTTTATTGGCAGCCTCTCATTGGTTGATACGGTAGGCGGTCCCCTCAGCTCCCTCCCCCTGGTGTCACCGTAAAAAAATTCCGTCCTCTCCTCCTTGGGTGAAGGTTCATTGCGGTGACAGTGTTACGTCTCCTACAGCATAGTTAAACGTTTTATCCACAATGTCTGGTCGTGTTCTCGTTGGAGTTAAGCGTGTCATTGACTACGCAGTCAAGGTAATGTGCTTCTACTGTTTCGACTGTCTTATTTACACTTTAAAATGTTTTTTTCCTGTGCTCACTCATTTGACTTTCTTCGTTCTACTAGCTTATGTTAGCGTGCTAACGTCAGTTGACTGTGGCACAGGGGCTAAGCCACACCACTGACTGTTCACATATTTGACAGATAACCTGTCAATCTGCAGGTAAACTCATTTACGGGATGTAGCATGATGAATAATTGGGATTGTAGTTGGCAACACTGCAGTGTGTGACTTCCTGCTGCGGATGTTTACAAGTTGTGTAACCTAATGATAGACTGAATCATAGGTAAGTCCTCCTAAGAATCAGCTTAGGAGTTTTTCCCCCATCTTAAATTGCTCTGTGAGACAGTTGTGAACGGTGTAGACACACAATTACTGTTATCTCAAAGTACTTCTTTCACTTTTATGGCTCCTGGAGATGATATGAGACACCATAATCATAATGTGTTTGCAGCTGTTTCATGTAACAGCAAGAACACTCCTGCTTCAGCTGCCCTCAGCAGGATCTGTACAGTGTCACTGCTCAATACTGACACTGTATACCTTTTGAAAGATGATAAAAATATTATGAGTCAGGAAAAGTACTTTTTGTTTGAATTTTCTGTTATTTTGAAAATGTTAATTTTTGCTTGTAATATATGCTGCCATGTCAGATTGTGTCTTAAAAATCAAAATCAGTGTAAAGTCAATGTTTAGTCATTAAGTCAAGTCATTTGTAGTGATAGGTCATGATGAGTTCCATTACATTCTTAGCATCATGCTTCACACCTGGATCAAATATTGCAAGAATAAATATTTTAAACTTATTATAAGTTATATAAGTTAGTAACTTATAGTATTAGTATTTTGTATATGAAAAAGTATATGATACACATGCTATATTTGGCCAGAAGTATATGGGCATCCTTGTATACATACTTTTGTGTACATTTAGTCTGGCGCTGTCTTTCATAGATTTTCTTAAAGTTACATACAACTCCAGTAGACAGACGATATACTTCCAAAGTTGAGGCAACAGTTTGGGGAAGATCCCTTTTGTTTCAGCCTGACAATATCCCGTGCACAAAGCCAGGTCAAATTGGAACATGAGCTGTGAGCCAGGCCTTATCGCCCAATGCCAGCACCAGACTTCACAACTACCCTTGTGACTATGTGGGATCGAATCCCTGCAGCCAGGTTCCTGTTATAGCAGCTCTTCAGTGCCCATGGTTTTTGAATGAAAACCATGGACACTACATGCTTTATATTCTTAAGGGAAGTTACTCTCGATCATTATCTGGTGACAAAGCAATGCAGAGCAATAAAAGTAGAGATGACAGCTTTTCCAAAAATGAAGACAGCTACAGGGCTCCTGTTTTAAACGTGCATCAAAATGTCTCACCCTTTTCACCTCTACATACTGTGGTGGCACAGTTTCTGTGTGAGTTTCAGTCATTGTGTCCGACAGTTTGCCCTAGAATCCAGACTGCCTGAATTGATTGTCAGCTGGCACACCCACAGCTGTCACCGCTGTAGTGACTCTGTCCCGCTGTCTTGCTCCTCCTCAGATTCGTGTGAAGCCTGACAACAGTGGCGTGGTGACGGATGGTGTTAAGCACTCAATGAACCCCTTCTGTGAGATCGCTGTAGAGGAGGCGGTCAAACTGAAGGAGAAGAAGCTTATAAAGGAGGTTGTGGCTGTCAGCTGCGGGCCACAGCAAGCACAGGTGGGTGAGATGGGGCCAGACTCTGCACCCCCTGCCTTGTTAATATCCTGGAGAAATGCACTGTGGTGTGATAGGTTGCATAGTTTTGGAAGGTGTGTTTCTAGTGGTTTGGATCTTGTATAGTTCTTTGCTAGGCTTTAGCATTACCTTTTAGTAGAATTGTGTTAAATTACTTTGCTTATTTAATGTGTCATTAGTGTGTATTGCAGATAAAATTATATACTTACATTGTCATTATATGCCGTAGTACTTATTATACACTTTTCATTGAAATACATTGTTTTAATCCCATGTATACACGTATACATACAGTGACATATAATCAGGATTTCATGTCCAGAATGATAAATTATTCATACTGTAATTCATCAGGGCAAATTTCAGAAGCAAGTCGACATGATAAAGGCAATATTATACACTGACAAAGCAGTTATTATTACACTTACTGATTCTGAGATATATGTAATGTTTGTGTTTTTGTCCTTTTGGGTTTGGTTGTAAATGGGGAGCAGCACCATCCAATTATTCTAACCCCCCTCCCTCAAAGACAAGTTCTTTGACCCATATTTCCCCCTCACTCAGGAGACCATCCGCACCGCCCTTGCCATGGGGGCAGACCGTGGCATTCATGTGGAAGTTACTGGGAAAGACTATGACACCTTGGGACCCCTCCAGGTCTCCAAGATCATGGCTGCTTTGGCTAAGAAGGAGGACGCACAACTCATCATCCTTGGCAAACAGGTTAAAGATCAGGATTAATTTCACTCAATATCCTCATTTAGAATCTCATAACATTTCTGCTCTCATACTCTGATTAACACACGTCTTGAACTGCTGTTACCTTCATTTAATGACTTGTGCTGCTTTCATAGGCCATCGATGATGACTGCAATCAGACTGGTCAGATGACAGCAGCCTTACTGGACTGGCCTCAGGTGAGTTCTAACTTTAATGCAGTCTTTGAATAAGTCATGTGAAATAGGACCAAGTCATCTTGTCCCAAAAATAAGTCTGTTTTGACCTAGATTGATCTGAGTGAATACTTTAAGTTAGAGTAAGTCAGCTGCTATTTTCTTCTGTTGGTTATCACAAGTGTCACATGTGTGACCTAGTTGTGCTGATATCAGGCTATGACACTGTCCACACTGCCTTATCAAGGTTAGTGGATACTAGTTTGAGTCAGTAAGAGCTACAGTGAACCTGTACAGATCAGCAAAGCAGGTTAAAGGCTACTTGGACAGCTGAGGTTCCACTGGCTGACCAGTAGATAGAGCACTTTGACATGGTGTATACATACAGACTGAGCAGTCTGATGCACAGATGCAGTTTAAATCCAAACATTTTAACCAGCCCATTTCCAAAGTTACCAACATTTCATGTGTGTTGTGCCATTTTCATATAATTATTTATCACAATTTATGACTAGTGTTATTTTTTTATTGCGAGCAGTTCATTTTAAAGACACATTTATCTTGGATTATTCACAATATAAACTGTAGTTACACAGGCAAGCCAGCAGATGGGGCACAATGACTACCTCATGACCTCAAGTAAACTCACATCAATCTTGCTTACTCTTTATGTAGCAGGGTTAGAAATGATTTAAGACAATGTTCCCCCTCCCCTGGTTAAACAATAGTTGTACAGTTTTATGAATCACTGCTGTATCCTCATATTTCAGGGCACTTTTGCATCAGAGGTGTCAATGGATGGAGACAAACTTAAAGTGGTGAGAGAAATTGACGGTGGCCTGGAAACTATTAAGATCAACACACCGGCAGTGGTGACTGCAGACCTTCGACTCAACACCCCCAGATATGCCACTCTGCCTAATATCATGGTAGGTTGCAAGGAGGAAACACAAGAGGCAAAAAAAGGCATGAAAATCATACTTTGGTTGCCAGGAATACAACTTGGATTTGTGTACAGAAAAATAAACTGTTAAAGGTTCAATAAATCCAGAAATAATTTAGATTCGATACAGCATTCACTGCATTCATAATTGTTGAAATGACAAGTACTTTTTTTTTTAAAAACAAAGTCTTGCAAACACAGACTCCTCAGTTAAGATATTTTTAAGTATTACAGAATATGTACATTGCCCTTCTCTCTGTGTTTCCTTCCTTCCAGAAAGCCAAGAAGAAGAAGATTGCTAACGTGAAGCCTGCAGATTTAGGAGTGGAACTCACATCACGGTTGGAGGTGTTGAGAGTGGACGAGCCCCCGCAGAGGCAGGCTGGGATGAAGGTGGAGACGGTGGACGACCTGGTGGGCAAGCTGAAGGAGGCAGGGCGGATATAGAGACACTAGGAGTGTAAGCAGGGGAGCACCGAGCCGACCAGAAGGGTGAGTGTCACTGTAAATACCAGTGTATAGTCTGACTTGAACTGGATTTTCATTACTAATTAATATCAATTCATATTTTCAGTAAGTGTAAACAATTTGCAATGATTTGTAACAATATACTTCATTATGCTAGCTATGGCTACAATCAACAAATGTTTCCATGAACAACTAATCTGTTGATTATTTATTTGATAGTTTAATAAATTCTCTGGGAAAAAGTGAAAAACGCTGATCTCTTCATCCAATCAATATTCCAAAACCCATAGATGTCAGTTTATAATGACTTAAATCAGAAAAGCAAATCCTCAAATCCCAGAAGCTGGAACCAGAGAATTTCTGGTGATTTTTGCTTAAATTGACTGACACAGTTAACTGATTATCAAAATAATTCATAATTTTTCAAGCCTTTATTAAGCTTGTTTTAGATAAGGCCAGTAGAGAGATAACAGGAAATGAGTGTGAGAGACAAAGGTTTCCAGTCAGACTCAAAAATGAGGCTGTTAATGGTTGTCCCATTATCAAAATGGTTGCAGATTAAATTTCGATCTATTGACTAATCAACTAACCACTCTAATGTAAGATGGTGACATTAGATGATATACTGGCTCTTTATCAATAGTTCAGTTTCTTCTTAAGAATCTGAAGTAACAACCTGTAAGTTTCATTACTTGCTTAGGGATGAAAATCCTTTTTATATATTATAACAAGAAGTATTTGTAACATTTACATATTTTTGACTAGGTAACAGGCCAAGTTTTATTTTCATATTTTCTGGGAAAGAAAGCAGTGGGAATACTCTATACCAAAAATTAAATATTCTTGATAAACCTACCTTTTGATTATTACTTGATACAAGCTTGTGTATGCAGAAAAGTTACCTCATGTGATGAATGATAGAATTGTTTTCTTGGAATATTAATATCCTTTTTATATCAGCGTCTCCTCATGGCAAAAAAAAACCTAATTAATTGCTCTAACAAAGAGTATTATGTGTTTTGCGCTTACAGAAGCAAACCTAATTAAAGATTTTAATTGCAGCTCTTGTCTTGAATTACATATCTACATTCTCTGCTCTCTTTGCAGGACTCTTCAAAGAACAACTGGACTGCATTACATAAGCTTACCCAGAGGACTAGCTCATGTATCGGCCTAATCCCTTTGTTGAAGACTGTGACTCCTGAGGATATGCAGGGAGGTAGTTACAGGAGAGGAGGAATACTGAGAAACACTGTCCTGCAGCAGACCCAGACAACTCCAAAAGGATCTTCTTGTCTTTTATGTGCATCCTAATTTACATGGATGATTCCTCTATCATAAGCTATTCTGATAACTTTAGACAAGTAGCCTTTATGCAATAAATTAAACCCAGAAACTTCACTCATGCTGCTGTTTGTATTGCACTGTACACTGTACAGTACACTTGACTCAGCTGTTTAATTTTGTACATCTGTTGTCTCACATGTTAAGAGGGGCAGTTTTTGTAAATGATATATGTAGATATGGACCCAAACCTGTTGAGATGATTATATCCGCCAAGATTAGCATCATGTCTACTGGTAGTCTGTATAGTTTGTAATGTAAAGTCTCACTGGGTTTCAGTGCTCTGCCTAGACGGTGTCTCTCAGTATGAGCAAGGGAGGATAACCATAAATCTGAATTTTACCATAAGCGCCTCAGTTCTCAGTGGATTGTACAGAACATAACCATGACAATAAAGAAGCCAGTCTTTTTCATATCTAAACATGGTACACATGTGACTGTTCTTTTGGTCTTTCTTTTTGTTTGGAGTTAGCAGTTGCTACGCTGGATGGATGCTTATGAGGATTGGCACTGATTAGTAAACTCACTATTTATTGTCCACAAAAATCATGTCATCTCAACACTCAGATTTTTACCAGTAGTAGTATTCTTAACACCTATAAATAAATGTGTAACAAATTGTGGTATTCAACATTAAAAACCATGAAATTGTGAAATAACTTAATCCAATTCACAATCCAGTAGAATTTATTTCAGGTCATTCAGGTAATTTCATTCTAGTAATTCTTGTTTCAAAAACGTAATAGGCTCTTTCAGACCAAAGCAACAGCCTCTTCCCAGTTTGTTTCATTTATGACATTTAACGGTCTTTTGGAAAAATGACACCGTGAAATAAACTGTTACTGTAACAAGAAGCAGGATGAAATTACTTTTCGTAAAAAATGAGCGTGTTAGTGAGTTAGTGTTAAACATTTGCTGGATTATTTCACAATGTCATGGCCATTTATTATACTTGTATTTATCCACATGATTATTTATTATCGAATTTCTTTTTTATTTTTATTTAATTAAACATTCGAGGTCTCTACACAAAGGTAAGAGTAGTGCAGGGCTTTTATATTTGACTGCATTCATTTTTGCTACACAGTGGTGGTGGTACAACAGCATCAGGGTCTTTTCACTTTCTCACTTTACTAGTTGTCAAGCTGACTCCTTTTGCTAAGGGGGCGGGGGCGTGGCCTCACCTGCACAATCAAGTCTTTTGACTCGGCACAGGTGAGCTATTCACGCGCCGTGATGTCAGCTCCAGCTCGAGAGCGAACACACACAGGTGGCTCAGTCACTGCTGTCCAAGACACCAGGGACATTTCTTCACCAGTGGTTTTTTTTGTGTTGGAAATATAACTTAAAAATCAGACGACTCTACTTTGTTACAGGGTTCTGTGGTATTTTTGAAATTGATAGCTGCTCGGCTTCCGTCCTGTTTAACTGAAATGACGTGGTTGGATGGATTTGGGAGATTAAGACCCGTTTTTCTGGGCATTTTACTTAGCTTTTCTTTTCAAGGTAAGATTAAAACTAATTTCCAGGTGTGAGTTTTTAAACGTGTTGCTTCCTTGCTGTGCTTTGTCGAGGACTCACGTTGAACCATAGTAATTATATTCATTTGTGCTTATTTAAAAAGGAATACACGTATAAAATTGCTTTATATCAGTATTGACTGCATTTGACTGTTTTGAAATGTGTCCCTATGACTGACAGGCCATCACATATTCAGAGAAAGAAGGAATGAATGTTTCCTCTCTAAACTAATTACTTGGCTCCATGCTGACAGGTGTATGCTGTGAACTGGTGGTTTCTGCTGCTGGTCCTACTTGGGTGAATGCAATAGCTGGCAGCAATGTGACTTTGGCTGTGTCCTTCAGTGGTGCCCCTGATCCAGCAGTTACCTGGTTTAAGGAGAATTTACCTGTCGTCACATGGACTATTGGCTCCAGTGCTCCCCCAGACATAGCCAACAGGGAGGTGCTGAGGATTGAGCAAAATGGATCCCTTACCTTTGTAAATGTGCCTCTCAGCTCCACCAGTAACTACACTGTTGAAATGACAAAGTCTGGACTGGGTATAGCTGTGATAAAATTCACTCTGACAGTATTTGGTGAGTACCTGACTGAGCTCTGATTTGGAAATGTGGTGTTGTAATCACGTCGCAATCACTAGGTTTTGTATACTTGTTCTACAGTTTATATTCACTTTTAAAAATAGGGAATCTGGCAACATTGGGATCTTCTGTAGTAGATTTTAAAACCTGCTATCGAAAATCTTCTATAATCTCAAGCAACTGGTTGTGTTTACAAAAGCAGTTACCTCAAGTAAAGATGGACAGCCATGAAAAATTATTTGAGTCAAACCACACACGTACTGCAACAATTCAATATCTAATGACTGTATATGCCATTTAATATATAAAAAATGCATGAAATATATTTTTCGGCAGCGGGGTGGTGGAGGGCGACTACATCTCTACAGGACCGTGGTTCAATCACTGTTTCTGGATTATGCTAAACCTAAACTCCTTCCCAGCTATGCGCCTGCTAATAGGTGGTTGCCTCTGCACTGTGAAATGTGAAAGCAAGAAAATGGGTATAATAACCTTCATGACTTAAATACTTAATCCTCCTGTTCCACCATCTCTTCACCTTTTCTTTCACAGAAGAGATCCAGAATGTGACTCTGAGCATGCAGCCTGATTTTGTCAAAGAGGGAACTGACCGGTTCACCCTGCAATATAGCTTTTCGCAAGGAGTGGTTGAGCATCAAATGTGGCTCTTCAGTGGCAGAGAGATAAAAACCAGCTCGCACTACTTGGTGGAGCAAAGGAGCGTCGTGATCCTCAAACCAAACCGAAACGACACGGGGCGGTACACAGTGTCGCTGACGAACCCTTTCAACCACGTGCAGGCTCACATGAATGTCACGGTGCTGTGTAAGTTTAACAACACTGATTGAAATGTCTTCACTGCATCCATCCTGAGTGTCTGTTTGTATCCTTTCATTTTCCTATAACTCTCCTCTCTATTCTTTTTGTTATAGATGGACCAGATGAGCCTGTACTTGAGGCCCGTCCATCCCAGTCTTTCTATGTACTAGGGGACTCTCTGAGCCTCTCCTGCCAGGCTGAGGGATTCCCGCAGCCGACAGCTGAGTGGGAATTTGGTGGTCAAACCCTTTCTGATTCCCGTGAAGGAGTCCTAAATCTAACAAACGTACAGACCAGTCAAGGCGGCGTTTACACGTGCACTCTGGTCAATGAGCAGACAAATGAACGGCGCCAGAAGAGCATGATTTTAAATATTTATGGTATTTATGGCATGAGTTTTATCTTTTCAGTGTGTCTGTGTAGTAGGATTCAGCATTTTCCATGTGTCCATATTATAGTAATTTGTGTTAAATTATTCTCAATCTGATTTAAAGAACCAGAAAGTTTTAAAATTCTTATATAGTTTGTGATGTTTCAATGTTTTCAGGAGATCTTATAAGATTACAAAATCTTCTCACAAGCTTCTCACCCGACATTGTTCATGTTTGTTTAGCTTTATGTAAATATGGACCCAAACACAAATAACTAAGCTTTCAGTCAATTTCCTCGGTGAACAGAGAAGCCGCCGGGCAGCCCGACATGCTCTGTACAGTCGGCGAATGGGAACGCCGACCTGCAGTATCGCTGTCGGTGGTCGGGGGGAACCCCACAGGCCCAGCTGTCTTTCCCAGCACTAAGCAACACGAGCAGTGGAGCAGGGGACTTCAACCTGACCGTCGCTGCCTCAGATAACTTGAACGGCAATACTGTCACATGTATGTTAGTCCACCCAGTTGAAGAAAATCAGTGCAACGTTACTGCACGTAAGTTTCAGAAGTTTCATTGATTTATCAGTTGAGGATTTGTAAATGATCAAACGGTTGTTCAAAAAATTAAAACCTCTGCCAATCCTCATCTTCCTCAGGTAGTCCAATGGAGTTCCTCCCAACTGTGGGAACCACAGTTGACTCTGAGGGCAAAATAGTGGTCGCAATCCACTGTGTCAGTGCGGCTTCGCCTGAGGCTGTGGTGTCATGGTCCAAAGGCAGCGAGGCTGTCACCAGCGGGACAACTTACCAGATCAGCAGTGACACCACACAGCTCAAGATTCGCAGTTACAATGTCAGCAACTTTCTCCTGCAAAACTACATGTGCACCTGCCGCAACCCACTGGGCACCCAGAGACGGAAAATACAGTTACGAGGTATAGTGTTGTTTATCTCAGCAGGACAGGAACCAGGTACTTACTCCAGTACTGCTGTTACATACTATTTTAAGGTACTTGTCCATTGATTATGTTCATCTTGTGTAACTCTTCTACATTTCAGAGGGAAATATTACTTACTGTACTGCATTTACAGTATCAGCCCTCAAACTTAAGTAAAAGAACAGAGCTATTATCAGCAAAATGTACTGCAAGTACCAAGAGTAAAAGCACTTGTTCTGCAGAAAAATAGACTGAGATGTTATTATATTATTAGACTTATACAGAAATGTGTAAGTAGCATTTTACTGTTGCAGCTGCCTGAGGTGGAGCTACTTTTAACTACTTAACTAACATAGTTTTGTTAAGTGGTTCCCAGTCTTGGGTTTGGGCCCCTCCAAGAGTCACAAGATAAATCAAGATCAATGTGATGGGTCTTGAGATGAATGATGAGGTTAGAAAAAGGTTCTGACACAACACAAATTTGTTTTGGATCTTTGTTGTTTTGTGAAATATTGAATCGTGTCTTTAGGCCTCAAACATGCGCTTAAATGAAACGGTCTAAGCAGTTTTGATATTTTTGTTCTGCTCATAGTAACCTGAAGTGTGACTACAGGACAGAGGACCTCAAGTTAGTTAAGTAGTAAATCGACAGAAATTTATCAACACCTTGAGTGAACGCAAATTTGAGATCTGTATTTTTCACAGGAAATTTTGTAGACCAAACATTGAATTGATTAGATAAAAAAATGAACAACAGCTCACTAAATAATTGTAAGTTACAGCCTTACTTCAGTGTGAGCACTTTTACTTTTCATGTTAGACTTTTCTCCTTTTACGTAACTTCTTCCGCCACTGCCATATGGTACAGTGTGTTGTCCTTCTCTTTAAATACTGTAAGGATTTTGTTGCCTTCAGCTTCTGATTTGGAGTGCTACTAACATTACCCTCAGACAGAGAGCTAAGTAATACCCAAGATTGCTCTTTCCCTTTTAAACAAAGCTCTCCAGTCTTGGTATACCCTCCACCCCCCTCGCCTGTCCTCTTGATCTCCCCACTCGTTCACAATCTCTCTCTCTCTCTCTCTCTCTCTCTCTCTCTCTCTCTCTCTCTCCAGGGCCGTCGATCTCAGATTCCAGTTTGTTCCCTAATCACGAAGGAACCATCGTCACGTTGACCTGGGAGGTCCCTCCTACCTCTGTTGTTACAGGTAAAGCAATAACGTCAGCAGATTTGCTTTGGGAAGAATGCCACCACGGTGTTGAAAACAGAAACTGTACCTAGAAGATAGGGGTGTAAATATTATATCATGTGTGAGCAGCGCTCAGTGTTTGGGGAAAGATATTTTAAGAACAAAAGTACGGTGAAAAGCAAATGTCAGTTTTTGTTTTGTCTCTTTCTCTCTCTGTTTGCATGTACATAGAATAACAGCAAAACAGGCCTGTAACATCAATCAGTGACATCTTGACATCTGGCACCGCTCTCTGGGTTTGGTCAACTTTGATGCTGTTAACATTTCTTGTGCTTTTGCAAAGGGTTTGACATCCAAATGAAAGGACCAGACCTCCTGAGCGGGAATCGTACTCAAACTAGAGGCACCTCAGACAAATATCGCACCATCCAGTGGAAACCTGGCTCTGCCCGTAGCACGGACATCTTTGTCCTCGATCCCAACTTGACGTACCGGTTTCGGGTCATCCCCAGAGCTCGTATGACTGAAGGAGAGCCGTCTGAGGTCCATAGAATTGGTCCAGGTATGGTAAATTGTTAGTGATTGTGTTTAAGCATCACAATTCTTATTACAGGGTGAGGGATGATGCTACAGTTGTAAAATCATTGGTCGCTGTCTGTCCCGTTGAGACTAGGTGAAGGGCTGAGTGGTCCCGCCATTGCTGGCATCGCAGCTGGAATCCCCTGCAGCCTTCTCTTCCTGCTCCTGCTGGCTGGCCTCATCTACCTCTGTGTCTACTGCAACAAGAACAAAAGTATGTGAACCCTTTTTAAACACGGTGACTTATTTTCTTTACATTCTGTGATAAATCATTTTGACTTTTTTCTCTGTTTTGTAGGTCGGCAGACAAGATATCCAGTGTCCAGAGCCGTTGAGAAGGTTAGAATCAGTGATCAATGTTAAGGAATTTATCTGGGTAACTTCAACACCAGCAGATGATATAGTTACAGTTGTGTACCATACTCTTCATACCATGCATCAGATACAGTGTGAAGTCATTCACTTAACGTGTTCCACAATGAATTATGCATCTGTCACTTTGTTTGAGCTTCTTTCTTCTCACTCAACAGGCAATAGCAACCCAATCAGATCCAGCTCCTCACAACCTGCTGACAGGAGGGCTGAAGTCTCCTCCTGACTACAACAGATTGCAGCAGGTAGTCTTTCTAGTAAAAACCTTTCTAAGTGGAAGATTGCTTCTTTTCTTGATTTGCAGTAAATAAATTGGTTTGTGCCTGTTTTTTTGTTTTTTTTTTCAGACTCCCTCTGAAAGATCAGGGGCTCTCCCCACATTCGTCCCTCCGCCGCCTGTCAGAGTCGCTACAACTGTCTAAACTCCAAAATTTTCTTTAATGTGTATATTACTTTTGTATAGCATTCTTTATTGTTTATGTTTTATTTTAATCTGGGATTTTCTATATTTTTATCGTGATTTTAAGTAAAACGAAGATGAATGCCGTAAACTGATCTCCGCTTTGTTACAATATTTATTGATAATAAATATAAAAGTGATGTCTGTACATTTATTTACCTTGTTCTTAAGGAAAGCTTTACAAGTTCTCAATAACACAACTGTAACTAACTGTATTGATTTCATGTCCCAAGTCACTCAGTACATCATGGCACACAAACTCCTTTTTGCTCTTCATGATCAAAATATTGATCAATGTAATTTAATTTCTGCTTCCATTTATAGTTATTTTAGAGAGGTAATTAACAATTTGAATATTTACTTTATAAAATGTAAAACAGACTACGCCCTGAAATCTCTTCCATAGTCTGAAAATCAGTCAAAACACTAAAACACTCGCACGTTTATAAGAGAAGCTGTGACCACCGTCCTCCCACACACTGCTCTCGGTCAGCAACATTATTTAATGCTCATCCTTAACGTTTCTCTCCCTCTACATCTTCATCAGAAATATTTTACACACTTCTTACAACCAGGATGTTAAAAAGAGATCATGCTGCACCCATCATATGTGTACACGTGTAGACTCTCACATGAGTGTCTCTTAATATTGACTGTGTGCTGTCATATTATATTTCACATATGTGTAAACAAGTGGGATAATACATAAACAGTATACAAGATTATTTACCAGAATTATTATCTATTGAATGAAAATCAGCCCTTTCTCAACGTGGGTTCTTTCAAAAACAAAACGCACAGATCGAAATTGTTTCCATCACACGGGGTCTATCAAAAATCAGTTTTTCAGACTCGGATGAATTTGTCACACCACATCAATAAAATCCCTTATTTTATTGACAAATTGGTAGATATGAATCAAAGGTTTCCAGAGCGGGGTCAACCATCTGATTGTGTGGAGGAAGCATATCGTATGGCCTTACAGAAATCAGGAAATGAATTGTTTACAAAAGAATCCCCTGCAGAAAAAGAAATGCCTCACAGACTGGGCTCGGTTATTAAAAAACACCAGCACATATTATCATCAGATCCAGCAATATCTATGGATTTGAAAGCACCGCCATTCATAGTCTACGAAGCGGAAATAATCTCAGAGATATCCTGGTACATGCTAACATATATCAGGGAAAAAAGTACATAGGCCTTGTTCAAACCTCTTCCAAATGGATGCTATCAATGCAAAGGATGTGCTCAGTGCAATAATATGATCAAAGGTAACAATTTTACTCATCCTCATGCTGGGAAAAAGTACTTTATCAAGGAGAGTAAGTGAACACAGGTTATCGATAAGGAGAAATGATAGAGATTACCCACTAGCAGTAGGTTTTATGCGTTTTAAACACGGCATCTCATCTTTTAGGTTCCAGGGCAGTGAAAAGGTGAGTGGCAGAGAGAGGTGGGAACGCTGGGAGTCAGTGCCGTCCACTGGGGGAGGTGGAAGGTGTTTGGTTTATTAGTCTGTTTTGTTACGGTCTAGTGATACAAGTGTGCGACACTGGGGAGATGGGACGTCTTTTGTTTGGTTTGGTTTTGTGTTGTTACGGTACAGAAACACAGGGCTGTGTCGGCTACATTTTCTTATTACCAGTTAACATTGAGCATGACTTGGGGGAGATGTTCTGTCACCTTTATATTTATTTGTGTTATTTAATGTCATCTCCATTTTACATCATTCTCATGCTGTGGTTACTCTTTAGTACAATCTCTGACACTTCATTGCCTTCAGGACTACATGCTGTATAAACTGTTTTGGGCTTGCTGCATGATGCATCAGACAAAGTGGAAGTACTGGTTTGGTTCACACATGGAAAAAGCAGTGGGTGCAGAAAACACTGTATCAACTGTAAACCAATAAGGACTCTTTTCTTATGTTTACGCTTTCCCTCAGAACAGATCATGACCTGATCATTACCCCGGGCTTTCCCAGAGGGCCTCGCTTCCTTGTTACTCAAGGTATTCTCTCCTGGAAAAATAATTTCTTGAAAATGTTTACAAATTTCAAGCTTTGAGATAAGCTACAGAGACAAAGCATTTATAAGGATGCCAGATGTTTTGTTTTCCCGAGGAGCATATGCTGTTGTTGCTGCTGTCATAATCCTCATGCTGTGTGTGTGTGCCTATCATTCTCTCTTATTTGCTTGAGGTTTGATCAGCTTCCTCTCTGTTCGTGGCTGCACAAGAAACACATACCTAGCAACTAAATCAGCAGCTAAATCAGCGATGCGAGTCAGTGGGAAGCGTGCAGAGGGAGGTGTTGACAGGTTTTCCTTTGAAATGAGCAGCTCCTGTGTCTCAGCAGCTCCTCCCTTTCCCTCACCTCTTCTTTGAGAAGTGCAGAGTTGAAGAGGTGATGAACAACACAAAGAAGGAAAATGTTGAGTGACGCCTCCAACAATAATGTTTGATGCCTAAGCAAAGGATCATGGACAAGTATTTGGCTTTAAGGTGAGGTCACACACTGAGGAGAACAGCTTGCCAGCCTGAAAACACTGAGTCAGTGTTCAACCCTGATGTAGGCAGTCTAATTTTGTTTTGAGGAAACACATTTTAACGTTTATAGTTTAAATATAAACTGATGTTTTCTGTCTGTGCAGTAGATGGTGCTGTTGAGTGTCTCATTTCTTCATCCCTTGATCAGCTTTTACCAATATTAATATCAGTTAAACGCTTAACTGAATGAAAGGAAGTTACAAGGTTGTATAAAATATAAATCAGCATTAACGTGTGAAAGACTCAACCCCTGATCCAAATATAAAATAATCTCACTCTCAAACATTAAAAACACAGGACTCGTCTGCTATCACTCACAAACTGATTGGTATTTTAATGCAACCATTTTATAGAAATACCAGTAGGAGTCTACAACCCTACAGACTGCAACTAAAAGTAAAGTTGCAACAAAACAAGGTTACATATTGAATTCTGGTCAGTTACAAAATACACACACACCATGCTCAGCCCGCGCTTTGAGAAAGTTCACCTGCTATGATGAGAAGAGGAAGGCCGTATGCTAATTGCGGAAAGTGACATTGTGGATTTATTATTATCTATAGTTTGCACAAAAATGTTGATCTTGTGTGTAAAACAGAAGGAAAAAAAAGAAAAAGACAACAGTTACACTTTTGTTAGTCCTGCAACTGCATCACCCGAGTCTCCACGTCAGGCAGCGGTGTCAGATGTCTGTCCCATCTCTATGTGCACGACAGCGGCTCAGTTTGGTGTCACTGATGGTAAGCAACCAGCTAGCTGCTTCCTGTGGAAAAATATGAAGGGTGGACTTCTCACAGCTCTTACCCGAAGAGCACAAATGTGAAAATATTTTACATTTCACATCGGTCAACGCCCTGGGCAGGGTCATTACAACAGGGAGTTAAATAAGTTCATAAGATTTTTAAGTAACACTCATTGCCTGTTTCCACACTCAAATACAGACCTAAATGAACATAATTCATGTGACAATTCAACATGCTCTAATGTCCTACCTCGGGTGAGACAGCCATTTGTGCTTCAGGTCAGCCCTTTTCGATCACGTTGTTCACATGGTTTGCAGGCAGACAAACCTGAGACCACTTCTGCTTCCTCCCAGAGGAAACAGTCGCCTGCAGGTCTGACCTAGAACATTTCTCTGATCTGTTTGGGCAACAGCAATCGTGGTCAGCGTGAAGTACATCTGCATCATCAGAGCTTCTCAGTCTTTTGTAAATCTCTCTACATTTAACACAATCCCATTATATGTTTCTCATCATGTAACACATCCATGAGGAAAAGGGGCTGAATGTGTGAACAGTGCAGTATGGTCCCCAATCATGACGAGTTATGAATGCTCTACTGACTATGCAATATTTTACAGGGTGCAAGACGCTTTTTATTGGTCGCTGATGGAGGTCAGTAAAGGTCAGTAAAGGTCATAAAGTAACTGATGGTTGTTTTAAGGGAATTTTTGATTTATGATTTATACACTATCATGCCCATCTCTCTCTCTCTGTCTGCCCAGGGCTCTACCATACACACCGTGCTTGGCGGTGGTTGGGTGACTGTGTGATTGATCCACATCCAACATCAGGCCAACACTACCTGGACACTGCTGCAGGCAACTAAAGTGGAGGATCCTGACATTAGTTCTCATTAGATCAAAGAGCAAAAACTTAATAATAACCATTGAAACCTTTTTCAGAGCCCTTAAGAAGCAATTCCACACTATACATTTATACACATTACCATAACCATATAATTTAGGTCAACATATCATTTATTTTGGTATTTTATTTCATTTGTGGCACATGGATTGTCTGTTAGATTTACTGGGTGCTAGTGCCTTGTTGCTAGTGCTCCTGTTTATATTCTGATTGTTTTGCACTAATCACAGGCAAGTGTAGGTGTTAGCTCTACCTGAGCAGACAATGCAGACATGAGACGTAGACCACATTTGAGTTTGGTTTTATTTCTTACGAAAATTGTGGTGAATGAACTGTAGATAACAATGGAGATAAAATTATACTGAAGAGTTATGTGTTAACCACAAAACACTTACTTGCTGTTAGAGTGTTAGTACAAGATAAACACATCAATAGCTGTGTGCAGTTTAAGGACTGAGTTCATTTTGACATACAAGACAAAAAGATTGTCAGAATATTTAAATCATTTTTTTCCTGCATCCACAATGGAAATAAACGTTTAATCTTTCATCTCTATTCTTATGTTTATCTTTAGCAATCTTTGTGCTAAAGGCAGTTTGTATTGGATTATTAAATAAATGTAATTCTTTAAAAAAATCCCTTCAATTAGGCAAATAGTTGCAGATAGAATTGCAGCTCCCAGAAGGCAGAGGTCCCTGAATATAAACACAGACCGCCCGAGGTGAAATCATATGTGTAATCAGATCTACTGCTATTACTTGATTCTTTTCTTAAATAATCCATCCAAGGTAGAAGCTGTGACTATTTAGACCCGGTGTGCACGCCAGGAGAATTACAGTCCCTCGCTAATTTATTAGCTACACTTACACCATATAGTGCAACCCAGTTCAACACTTCAGCAAACTACAACCTCAATAAAAAAACAAAAACAAATAGTGAAATCAGTATAATAGCTCTCTGACAGTGTCAATAAAAACAAAAGACTATTGTCTTTGTGAAGGTAGACTTTATGGCTGAGTTGTTGTATTGGACTCCATTAGATTTAACAGGTATGCTTAATGTTATTGTTTCTGTGATATATTGGTCAGCCTTTTACTGTCGGTGCAGTGTTTCCACAATATGATTACATATTCATGGTTAACATTTATAGCACCCTCTGAATGCGGTGTTTCATTTTTATTAAGCAGCTCTGGGGTCATGTGTCTGTTCTAAGCGTGTATGTGTCCCCATGACCACACCCCGGCTGCCCTGAAAGAAAGTGTGCACTTCAGCATGTTCCATTGACCACAGCAGTACTGCAAGCCTTTGCACATCCACAGTTCCAGAACGCCTAATAGAACAACAGACAAGGACTGCGGTGCAGCGGCCTCGCATCCCAGACCCTCCCCCATCCCCCAGCACCATCACCCCTCCCCTTTCCCCTGACCCCCAAAATACTCCCATGTAGTTCAATGTGGAAGAGTCACGTGGCCTTTGGCCCACCAGCTCAAGTGCATTTGTTCTGTGCTGATTGTTTTAAAGGATTTTGCCTCCATCAACAGAAAAGTGGAGGGGATAACTTTTTGGAATTCAGCCTAGGGCTTCCTCTTTGACATTTGCTCACTCCTGGCTTGCACTCTCTCTCACTCTTTCCCTGAGGAGAGGCTGACACTTAAGAGGGTTAATATATCCTGAGGAATTCAGGTAAGATGACGTCGGGTCTTTTGTTAATGGCTGATAGAAATAGGAAGTAAAAATAACAACGTAGAAAGCATACCATGGCATGCTAACCAATGAGTCTCAATATGTCTCACAGGTGGAGAAAGAGGGCCTTCACGATGTGACAGCTACAAGCTTTCAGGATTTTAGCTCAAATCATTTACATTCAATGTGAATATTTTGTAATGCATGTTTGATAGATTTTTTTTTTGTTGTTTTTCAGAATATCCATTTTCAGTATTACACATAGGTTGTTTTTACTTAATGATACGTTTCTAAGGATTTCATGTCGATCTTGAGATAAAAGAATGATCTGGTTCCATTCACGGATACAGATAAATCTATGGTATTCAGACCCTCAAGCCAAGAGTGTGGATGATGATGTATGTTGTCTCTGATAGCTTAGAGCAAAACTGACACGACTGACACAGATGTCTGACGTCTTCTGCTTTGAAATGCTGATTTCTTCACATCACTTATCAAACTCAGAAGCCACACAGGACAACAGGATTGAAGCTGTCAATATGCATTTATCTTCAAGGGGTCTGACTAATTTACGAAAGAAATGGTCCTATTCGTTTTCATTTAAGCTGATGTCATTGTCCTTGTTTGTTAAATATCTAATTCTAGGCTTCGTTTGTATCAGTCATCAGCGTCACTCACAGCATTGTGAGTTGTGTGTGAGCTGACTGCGGTGCTCTTGGGCAATTTTCTCATTTCAGTTTTGTATAGTTAGTGTAGGAAGTATGCACATTTGTGGCTTGTGCAGTAGTGTGTATATAAAAAAAGCATGTTCAAACAAAGAGAGCTGAGGTTCCTATGACCTGACTATATTGTGGTTGGTATAATTACTCCATGCCAGCAACTCTCATGGCAAGTTCTTTGCTTTGTTGTTACAGCTAACTGTGCAGTCAAGACAAATTGAAATGCATTCATAGATAGACTAGTTCCAACATCCCCATGTGTCTTCAGGCAAGAATGAGGAACTGCAAATGTTGCTGCTAGTAGAATAGAGAAGGCCCAGTATTCATAGGACAAATATAGCTGATATGACAGTTGATAACTTTGCACACTCACAGATAGTCTACAGGAATGGGTCGCTTATGCCTTTGAGTAAATGCAGTGGTATAAATTCAGCGCTGTTTCCTTTAGGTCAAGTAATGGCTAGTGAAGATGGTGTTTGCCAGAAACAATGGTGGTTCAAGCCCCCAGCCTTGCTTAGTAAATCTAAATGGGAAATATAAGTGAATGTCTTCCCTTCATCAGATACTTAAATCACAGTGCCCTAATGCTATCTTAAATTATTATTAAAGATAAGCCCCAACCTGTGGTTACCAACATCACTGACTACATTTGACAGCTTCTACATATGTCAGGCTTGCTTCCTGTCTTTGCATCTACACCTTCAAACCATTTCTGTTTCCTCAACCCTTTTCCTACTGAATGAACATTCAAACCTCTTCTTTGAAAAATTTTAACATCATTGCTACAAGTTCACCACTGAGTCTTCTTATTTTCTTTTTGCACAGTGCATAAAGCCTTAACCGCTGTCATAGTGTCACTCATGATGTACAGCTTCATGGGAGGGGGCCTCTTTTGTGCCATCGTGGGGAACATCTTGTTGGTGGTCTCTACAGCCACAGACTACTGGATGCAGTACCGTCTGTCTGGCAGCTTTGCCCATCAGGGCCTGTGGAGGTACTGCATGTCTGGCAAGTGCTACATGCAGACTGACAGCATTGGTAAGTGGGAAAATATCTTCTTGGACCCTTAAAAAATTTCCCATCGGATCTCCCTGATGCACAGCAAGAGTCCAGGTCTACACATTTGCATACAATAATAATTGTCCTTACTTTTGTGGAACAATAATAAGAATTTCTAGGTGACTCTCATAGCACGTGGCTGCCATACTAACAGACTAGAGCAATAGTAACAATGGTGTAAAAAAAATATACACATCTCTCATTTAAGAATAAGAGGCTACAGTCATGCTAACAGCTATTTGAGTCTGTACTTAGGCACACTGATGCTTTGAGCTAAATGCTAATGTCAGCATGCTAACATGGTCACAGTAACAATGCTAACATGTTAATGCTAAGGAATATATAGCCTAATGTTTACCATGTTCACCAACCTGGTTTAGCATGTCACCATACTAAAAGCTGCAAATAGCACAAACACAAAGGTAAAGAGCAGGACAATGGGGCATGTGTTAGGCTATTTGTTTTGAAGGTATTTGCTCATAAACCAAAGAAATTGACAAATAAATATAAATAGATGAAAAGTCGTGAGATCGCCCAAGTTATTAGAATTCATGAAGGTCTGAAGCAAATTTCATGGCAATCCATCCAACAGATGTTGAGATGTTTCACTCAAAACCAAAAATGTCAACCTCATGGCACCACTAGAGAAAACAACAGTGGATAACCAAAGTCATTAGGATATGTCATTTGGAAACCATGAATTTCTGTAGAAACTTTTGTGGCCAGTGTATCTTATAGTTTCTGAGATATTTCAGTCTGGACTAAAAGGTTGGACTGACTAACTCACTGACCGACATTGGAATCAGCTGAGCCACACAAGCAGTGCGGCTAACAACAAAAATATTGCAATATAATGTACGTTATCATTGTGTTAACCTGTGTTATATTAACTTTCTGAACTTCCTCCTTGATTATTTCACGCTGTGCAAGAATAGGCCTAAGTGTCATGACATTTAAAATGGAGGCGTACAGAATACACAGGATGTGCAATGCTGTCATACAGTCTGAATGGAAAATTCTCAAGCAGCTGAATTTATCAGCTTGTCTGGGTAGCTACTGAGTACAGTGGTGGCTACTTGTAGCACTGCATTAAACACATAAAACCAATGCTTTACATGTAAAATATTATTGGTACAGTAACTGTTGTTGCTGCTACTGCTGCCAGATAAACAGTATTGGTTTCAAATTTAGAGAAGTTCCTTTGAAATCTAAAAATGTAAAATGTTATGAGGAACAAAATGTTCATGTTTAAGGTGTTTAGATTCATTCCCAGCAAGTTTTGAAATGGCACTGAGTGTGTTTTAGAATGAAAATGTTCATATCAGATGGAATGATTTATAATTTTCAAATATATCTTATGCATGTCTTTATAATGTTTTTTCTTTCTCTTGCTTTACTCCTCCTCAGCCTACTGGAATGCCACTCGTGCTTTCATGATCCTCTCTGCCATGTCATGCTTTGCTGGCATCATTGCAGGAATCCTCTCCTTTGCCCACTTTTCAGCCTTTGAGAGGTTCAACCGCTCATTTGCTGCTGGGATCATGTTCTTTGTTTCAAGTGAGTCACAGTTACAGTAACCACAAAAAAAAAAAAGAGGAAAAAAAGTCATCGTAGTTTTGTTTTCAACATCACATTTGCAATGATTTGCATACCATGTAACTCTCGGACAAAGTTTCCAAGGCTTGCCATAGATACTGTGCAAACTAATCTTCAACTGAAATGACCTTTACCATCATGGATATTCATTTTAATATGTGCCACTCTTTGCCCACATGCCAGCTCTCTTTGTCCTGCTTGCAATGGCCATTTACACTGGAGTGACAGTGAACTTCCTGGGCAAGCGTTTTGGTGACTGGCGCTTTTCTTGGTCCTACATACTAGGCTGGGTTGCACTGCTCATGACCTTCTTTGCAGGTTTGTTCATAGTGCAAAAGAGTTCCATGAAATGATTATATCTTTCTGATTGCAAACAGAAATTCTTCTTCTTACGACACTTCTGTTTGTTCATGAGCAACAAATGATGAAAGCACAAATATGCTGATGTCACACAGTGTCATTTTCCTGAAATTTTATTGACAATAATTCTTGTAAATAAGTTGCTATAGTTTGTTATGCATTAGTGCACTCTCAGTTACGCACTCGTGAAAATGTCATCTATATATTTTCAAACTCACACATCAATAAGCTTTAGATACAACAGAAAACTCACAAAGCTCTTGCCATTGAAACCCCATACCACTTTATAACTGACTTATGTTTTGTTTTGCAGGTATATTCTACATGTGTGCCTACAGAATGCATGAGTGCAGAAGAGTGGCTGGCCCACGTTAAAAAAAAAAACGGAAATGCTGTGTCCAGGGTGCAAAGGATCACAGGTCCCATTCAAAAATAGAGAACCTACTGTAAAATAATAAAATTTGGAATTTTGCATATGCATAAAACATGCTCTGCCTTGGTTTTGTCATAAAACAGTCTACATTGTTTGGGATGGAAAGCAGAACAGTCCCAGACATTGCTTTATAAAAACAATACATAAACAACTGTTAAATACGGCCACAGGTCAAGTTACAACAACTGTTAAAGAAATCTGTATTGTATTACACATTAAGGCATAATGTCAGCAATATAAAAAAAATAATAACAATGAAGCTGGATATGTAAATATAGCATTGGAAGTGTATCTTGCTCTTAGCCAGAGCTTGTGGCATGCTTCTGTAATCCTGAAACATGCTTCCTGAAAATAGACTTTTCACTAGTGCAGCGGAAGGCGGAGGAGGAGAAGTAGAAGATGATGGGATCAATACAGGTGTTGAAGGTGCTAAGCAACAAGGTGTAGTACCTCCATTTTGGGCTATCACCCTGGAAGTAACCGACTAAATGAGAGACATTGTATGGCATCACACAAATGAGAAACACGGCTAGAGTCCCTAAGGCCATGCCAGTGGCCTTCTGCTTCTGCATTATGGGTATCCTTGGGCGGCTGTACAGGATTATTATGCAGCGCAAGTAGCAGTAAACACAAACTAGAAGAGGTATAAGGCAGAGCACAAAGAAAAACTCCAAACGTACTGGGAGGAGGATGTCAAGCTGCGTCTTGGTGAAGTTCTCATAGCAGAAACTGGAGTTTTTGCTGGATAGGGATGGGTGGTGCTGGGTGATGAAAGTGATGCTGCAGTGTGCTGCTGATATTAGCCAAATAACAGCACTGACCACTACTGCGTACACAGGTTTGTGCAGCTGATGATAGGTGATGGGGTAAGATATGGCAATGTAGCGAACCACACTGACCGCCATCAGCAACAAGGAGCTGGTGTAGATTGTGGAGAAGAAGGTGAATGAGGTGATTGAGCACAGGAAGTTGGGCAGATTCCACTTCATGCCGGACGCTGCCTCATACATCTTGAGAGGAAGGATGATCAAGAAGAGAAGATCAGAGACAGTCAGATTAAGAAGCAGGATGTCTGTTGGAAGTGGCTTGGAGCGGATTTTGATACTGAAGGCGTAGAGAGCGAGGAGGTTGGTTGGCAGGCCTATCAGGAAGGAAATGATGTAAACCGAGAGAATGACTTCACTCTTCACCATTTGCTCCATATTGCTACCCTAAACAAAAGAGAAGTGAACAAACACCAACACCAACTGTTAGAAATGACAGACTTGATAAATCAGTGATGTCTGTATGCATGATGTAGTCCAAATAAACAAAAACTTGTAGCTTGTTTCTAATAATGAACAGAGAATGAAGTCAGCCTCGGCGTTAAAACATAATCAGATCTGCCATCAATCGCAGAGTAAATGAGAGGTATTTAATAACTGCTAATGCTGTAGGTGATACGCTATCACCAGACAACATATAAGTTATTAATTTTGGTGCAGTTATATGTTTATTTACAAAAGGTATGTAAATATGTATGTATGTATGTAAATATACTACAAATATATCTAGTCAACTCAGTATCTTTAAATATACTTTTCTATTTTATGAGAATGGATAATGTTGGTTAGGAAAATGGCTTTTCATGATTCTGATCACAGACCAGTTCCAAAACAAATCAGCCATTGTCAGCTCCAAACAGCAGATGTGGAATATCAAGAGCAAAAAGGATCTCAAAGTTAGGATTAATAAGGTAATCATATTCACTTACCTGGCAGGAGTGGTTTTCAAAAATGTCACAGCTTTTAAAAATGCAATTAGAGCTCAGCTGTGTCTCCGCCTTTCATCAAAGACAACCAGTTTATAACTTGTGAGTTCAAAGATAAGCTGATAAACAATGTTATAAGCCGGAAACAGAGAGTCATACACAGTTCAGTGTCACACACTCCCCTCTACCTATTCTATACTGAGCAACAAGCTGACACCAGTTGGTTAATATTAACCAAAATGCAAAACTGCAGCTCATGCTGACTTGTATGTTGGATGTGTTAATAAAGGACCTCCTCCTGACTATATCAACCCTGAACCTTAGATTATTAGGTTTGGATTCCATTGAGCCACGAGCCAGCATTTGTTCAAGGTTACACCTACACCACAAGCTCTGAGAGTAAGTCATAATTTCAGATAAACAGAAAATATTTCCAAATAGACGATCAATTTAGGGTTGTTTTCTGAGTTCAATTCCAGCTTGGCATCATTACTATAAAATAATTTGTGTTTCAGCAATAGAGTGGAGGATAGCTACATAGCCTTAGCATAGTACATTTGTTTTCTGCTGCTTAGGAACAATTTGACTATTGGGTTTCCTTCCTTTCAGCATATTTACATTATCATGGTTTATCACTGCAACAGGAAATAAATACAGCCTCCCTTTGTATTCTACTTAAAATGGCCACAGACACTTCTGTGTATGTAATTCAAAGTCTTTTGCAAAACTCGAGTCGCTATGAATGATATGTTTAAGTCTGAATATTTATCTATCTAACTAGCCATGCTCAAGTCAACAATGAATTTGTTTTAAGCAATGCACATAAATGGGAGCTACTGAAAGGAGCCTACTGTGTGCGAGCAGCAGCAGATGTCCTCTGATCAGCAGTTTAGATATATGTCCATATCACAATCCACTCCCTGTGGGAAGTCAAAAGTATAATTTCAATACCTCTAAATGTTTGAACAATAAACACACTAGCAGAAAAAATACTGATGTGAGACTTAAAAAGGATGCTCATGGTGGAGAGACTAAACAATCCATATTCATATAATCCAGCTATAAATCAAATTTGATTTTGTGAATTTAGATCTATGTGTCACAGTCTCTGTGAGCTCCCAATCTCATCCATGTATAGTATTTTCATGTGATTTATGATTAAAATAAATGATGGTCTACAGAAGGCAAGTGAAACTTTTTTTTTTTTTTTTTTGCCAGGATAATTTTCTAAATTTCTTTTTTTTCATCTGTATAAATGACCCTTGAGAGGCAAGCAATTTTTTTTATATATATATATATTTGTTATTTTTATTTATTTATTTATTTTTCACTTGGCTTTTTCACAGATGAAAATGATCCTGGCCAAAAAAAAAAATACTTGCCTTCCAGGACTTCCATAATGGTCTGTTGTGAACCTTTGAACATTTTTTTCATCAGTCACATTCACTGCACCTTTGCGAGTGGCTGTATTCCACCTCGTCTTTGGAGGGCTGTTTCATTATTCTTGTGCTGTTGAGCTCTGGTTGGTCTACGCATTTCTTCCACATTGTCATAAACACAGGAAAGTCTGTCCACCTCAGGGTTCCTCTCTGATCCACATGGACTTGATTGTATGTCTTCATCTTGCCATCTAATAGGAAGAGAGAGAAGGAGGCTATTCACACTTTTCTTCAGCTTCCTCACTACGTACTCAATACCATATTAACACATAAAGCCAAGTATGTCACGGCTCTGGCAGTGTGTTAGTTTTTCCTCTGTTTCCTTGTGTCTCCTCCTCCACCGTTTCTCTGTTATGTGGGTGTACATGTGTCATGGGCGTGGTTTACTGCTCCTGGCTCCTGGTATCTCTACACACCTGACTGCAACCAACTCATCTCCGACAGTTAAAGGACTGCCAGATTGTTAAGTCTGCTTCAGTGGTAGAGAATCACTTGGTCACTCAAGTAATTTCCTCTGTTCTGCCTTGCGCTCCAAACTAAACTGGTCCCCTTCCTCAAACAGCCAGCGTGCCGCCACCCTCACCCTTGTCCACCCTTCAACTCCCTCCTGAAACTTTTCTTAATATACCAACCTCAACCTGTATCCTGTTTCTGCATCTGGGTCCAAAAATAACCTAGCTGTCACAAAGTATTTGTGCTGAGACTGACAATGAAATTGTTCTCTTTACCTTTGAAGACTGTTGTGTCTTTTTTCTTGTACACAACCATAATCTATGAGAAGGAGAAAAGTCTACCAACCTGTTTCTGCGATATTTTCTGTAAATGAACACAAATGCAAATCCAAACAGCAATAAGGATCCAAGGATCATCGAAATTGACAATGAAATGGACAAAGAGGCTGTAAAAGGGAATTAGCTTGATTAATATGATACACATACACGCACAAACACACACACACACAAAACGAGCTGTTATTCGCACTGAGTAACTTACATGACAAGTTGCCTTTATGCAGCTCTTTGGTGTCCTTGCCTAGTGAGTTCCAGGCTGTGCAAGATACAATAGTCTGGACTTTAGCTGGGCCACTAATTTCCTCAGAGACTACATTTGTATCATTTGTGGAGACCAAGCGGAAGGAGGATGGAAGACTGTTATTTCCATCAATGGTCCAGTTTATAAAGGCATTTGGGGATGCCTTAGCTCGGCAAACACACCGCAGAACTTCCCCGGTCAGGTGGCAGGAGGACTCAGGCAGGATTACTGGGACATCTAGCAAGATGGAATAAAAAATATTGTCATTCAACAAGTGATCGAACCATTTTGGATTTCCTAAATTTCAAATGTCAACGATACATTAAGCTAAAAACATGGCATTTTTCTACCTAAAAACTTGATATTATTAATAAACCTATAAATAATCTTATGAACAATGATGGCTTCATATTTGTTTCTATTGATTATTTTGGCATTTTGGTGGCCTAGTGGTTTAAGATGTGTACCAAAACATCCCTGAATTTAACACTGATGGGGACCTTTACTGTAGGTCTAACACTTTCTGTCTCTCCATGTGTCCTGTCTGCGACTGTGTACATACAATAAAGGCAAAAGTGACTATAAAATAATGTTTAAAAATTGTATAATTGCATTAAATACTTATGTATCCCAAATTATTGCATACAAACAGTTCTCTATCCACTCCAGTAACATTATCTTGAGAGATAATGAACCTACTTCAGTGATATTAGAACAAATCATCTCAGAGAACCTGATCCCTAATAGGCTGGTAACAGTTGTATTCCTTGCAAGATAGGTTTTGTCCAAACAGTCATCTGTAGTGGAATCGGGGCTATAGCTGCCACAGATAAAGTTTGTTTACTTGGCTTGCAAGTAAAAATCATATGTTTGTGGCAGCAGGTGAGGTCAAAATATTATACATTTCTTGTATAATAAACTTGAACTGCATGGTTCTGATTATTTACGCTCTCAGTCTTTACCTTATGTCTGTTTTACTAATTATGATTAAAGTAATTAAACTTCCCACTATTATATTTACAAAATAACATTTGATTTGTGTGGTATCACGTTTCTTTTGAATCATCTCCTCTCACATAGGTCTACTTGAATGCATTTCATCTGAAAACAGAGAATATTCTCTCCTGATTTTTTGTCTGACTTTGTCCCACCATAACCCATATTGAGTAAGATTAAGGTAAGGTTTTCTTATCAGTTTAAACGACTAGGTGGCTGAATGAAGGTAGCTATCCAAAGTGAGAGAAAAAAAACGACATCGGGACGTGTTTAAATCACTTCCTGTTACCTGCAGTCTACACCTGCCGAAGCGAGGCCAGGTGCAAAGTAAAATGAACGAAATCAAGAAACACCATTGCTAACGCATGGATCGTTGGTTAGCTCCCTCCGCCATTTTTTACTCGTTAACGGTACATTGGGACCCTAATCCAATAAAAGTGAATCAACAGCGTTACTCTATCGGTTTAAAAAGTGAAAGGCATTTGTGAAGCCAAGGCCAGGTACAAGGGCGACGACGTTTTACCGTGTCTTCAGTTATGCTAGCTAAATACTACTCAGCGTCGCCACGGCAACTCTCAGACCTACGCAGATTCACAAAAGACCTGAGGGACGTTAACGTTTTTCTGGGACGATTTAACACAGACACTCCGCACCCGCAGTTTTGTTAGTGGTAAGTAAAGCTTATTTTTGTAACACTGACTTTATTTTGCCTGCCTTACGTTTCGCAAACTGAAAATCGCCCGTGGTTTGTTATACTCAGTAGTGGGAAAAGGATTTAAGATCCTTTATTTAAGTAAAAGTACTATTAGGCAACAGTCATGTAGAAATACTCAATTGCAGGTAAAAGTGCTGTGTTCAAAATCTTACTAAAGGAACATAAGTATTATCAGATAAATCTACTTTGGATATCAAATGTAAAGGGACCAAGAGCATGAGATTATTACATGACATTATTAGATGGTTAACTGCATCCCTGAGCAAGCAATATTTAGGTTACTACTGCTACTATGAGTTTGTACTCGGTAGCTTTTTTTTTAGGGTGTGCTAAGCCCAACAAAGTTTGGAACAGCTGGTTTAATCTTTAACAATGAATTGTTTTTAGTAATGTGTTTCATACATTTTTTTTATATAAAGTCTGAAAATCTGAAAAATCTGAATAGTAACTAGTAATTATAGTTTTAAAGTAATTTTGTATTAATTATTATAATTGGAATATAAAGTAGAATAAAATGAAAGCACTCAAGTAAAGCACAACAAGTGCCTCAAAACTGTAGTACAGTACTTGAGTAAATACTTAGTTACTGTCCACCATTGGGTATACACAGGCAATGGGGTCTCATGTCTGTTGTGTATCAGTCGCTACCAGATTTTTTTTTTCCTGTCTTGTTTAGTGTCAGTGTCCTTAATTGCTTAGCTGCTGGGTTATTCCTGTCTCTTAATCTTAAACGATCTTCCTCATCAGATGGATTGTCATGGAACTGTAGATAATTCATTTATGGTTTGTTTGAGGTGTTTAAGAGCTTCTCCTCTGTTGACTGAAAAGACTCCTGACCTTTAAAAAAGTGGTTGACTAAACCTTCTTGCAATGTGGCCTGTTAGGTAGCTGTCCTTGAACTTTTGATCATATTAAAAGGTCTTCCTCAGCCGATGGAATTTTGCATGACAACTACTGAGGAAGGTTGTGTGATTCGACCAAAAGCTTCAGGACAGCAACAACAATGGCCTTGTGTTGAGCTTGTTTGGACAATTACTGTTTCCAGGGTCAAGAGTAAAGTGTCAGTCTCAACTATGATCTATAACTATGCTTTTCTTGTGTGGTTCTGGTACAGAAATCAATCAAATCAGCACTGACATATGTGATTGAATAGATGATCTCTTGTAGTCTCTTTTATAACCAAACTGTGTGAACTTTCCTACTCCTTAACGTAGTGACAGCAGTATTTCGGTGCAGTGTGTCTTTAGCCTTCGTCTTTGGTGGCTGACATGAGATGGTAATGTTTCAGTGATATTACAATTTTTCTGTCCCTACCAACTGGACCACAACCACCAAATGGTAACAAATAGTTTTTATACTGAGAGTATTTTTTTTAAACAGGGCCTGGTTGTGATCAGCAGCCTGCAAATGGTTACACTGAGCAAGTCCCTGGTGTGAATGTGTAGCAGTGTATTCCAGATTAAATTAGGAGTTCATGAGGTACAGTGGAGGAAAATGTAATGTAAGTTTTTTTTACGTTGAACATTCAGATCCAACCAGTCAGATTGCCCCATTCCAATGTCATTGTGAGCAATGCAGGAGAAAGAAGTATCTTGTGTAATGTTGCTGAAGAACATTTTTCTCTGAGTTGAATTCATGTCGTTGATCTGACCCATCTGTCTTTTAAGCCATGAGTACATGTATGGTTGTGGGTTACAATCAGCCGTACACTCCATGATAATACTGCCACCCTCTGTCACCGTTTCCTTTTCCGGTGTCAGGGTCACAGTCACAGGTTTATCTATGGATATAGAAAATCATAACATATAATTAAAATAGTAAGACAGTTCACTGATAACATACCTGACAATTAAATGTACTTCTATCATTTACTTTCAGTATTTAGAACAGGCCAACTGTAACACTTACATAAAATGCTGAGTGTTATTTGTTCACTTTCTGTGGTGAAGGATGCGAACTGTGCAGAACATGTCATTATGCTGTTATGCATTTCATATGTTGCCCATCCATGCAGCATCTCTGTGTACAACCATTGCCCTTGGACCTTCTGGCTAAAAGTTTCATTTCTGGAAAAGCCCTCTTTAATGGCTACGTTCCAATGAAGGGGTGGAGGCTTGAAAGGGCAGGAGTGTCTTATGCTACAGTTAGCCTGGAAAAACTCCCCATCCACTATTTTCTTCTGAATGGAGATAATGGGAGCGTGTCTCTCTGGAAGTCAAAAGAAAGTGATCATAGAAAAATTGCAGGATCAGCTTTTCATTTCAAAATGAACTGTGTATAAATGAGACAAAAATCTATACCATACAGTAAATATGGTGCGTCTGAATTTGATTTTAGGCTGGATTTTCCCTTTAGATTTCTTAGATATCAGATTGGGTATGTGCAGATTGAGTGAGCAGTGTGTAGGAGCTGTACTTTTGTAGGGTTCAGATGTAGCAAGGAAGGAACTGTATAATGTGTAATAATAATGTTTTTTATGTGTTAGTTCGTTTTGGTATTGTGGGTGTAATTCAGTTTTTTTTCTTCTATGGTTTATATTTGCATGGTAGAGTATTAAATACACAATCAAGCCACTGAATAAATGCTCCACTTGGATAGTCAGATCTAACCTTCAAAGTGATTTTTTGAATTTTTAATTTCACATGCAAGCTTGGGTTTCCTAAATTAAATTACATTTAAATTTACAAATATTTACTTACCAACAAAGATAGTTACTGTTTGATCATAGAATCTTTGCTCTTTTAAGGCTGGGTAGATCCACACGTAAACTTGCAGGTTGTTGTCATCTCCCCTCACATTATCAATCATCAGGGTGCAGTTTCCATCTGCAGCATTACCTTGTACTGAGGTGCGTCCTCTGAACTGTTCTTCAATTTTATCTGGGTGAAGTTTGTCATACACCACAGGATAGTGCAGTGTATGGTACTGGTACCAGTTGACCTGAGAATGAGGTTGTGTCTGACATGGCACCACAACACAGCTCCCCTCCACTGCAGTAATTTCTGTGGGTACATTGATGATCCAGCTTTTCACCTGCTGTAGAGGTGAGATGCCTTTGTGGGGCGAGAAGAGGAGGAGGGAAGGGTGTATTATAGAACAGGACCAGGGTTAGCTGTGGTTGTCGTGTTTTTCTGGTGCTATTTGTGGTGATGAGTGAGAAAGTAAGCTATGTGACACAGCTGGAAACTCAGATGCATAGATAAATGTGACTTTGAAAGCCACTGGACCACAAAGCAGAGTTTCCAGCAGTAGTTAGAGCTATTAACCTTACTAAAGAAAAATCTATTATTTCTCAGAGAGGATTTCTTTGTTATATACATATAGTTGTGACATAATATCAAAGATTATCAGTTTTCTACAAGAATATATTACAATATATATCAACCTTTTTTTATCTGCAGATACACTACATCGTAAGTAGTGTTGAAAAAATATGTGGCAAAATGCTGCAAATATTTTATAATACTTTTATTACCATACTATCAAAGAATGTACATCGCCATAGCTACAAAATGATAACTTTACAATTAAGTAGTAAAGAATGACACCACCAAAAAAAAAAAAAAAAAGTTACAGGTTTCTAATAATAATGTTGGTAATAATGAGGAGTGTGGGCAATAGTTAAATTCTTAATTTTGCAGGTTTAAAGCTGTTTTTTTTTTTCTCAGCTATATTCCCAGAAGTTTATCATAGTTATGTCCTTATAAGATGACACTAATATTCGAAATATAAGCATATTGTCATATCTTTATGTTTAATATACAATACAAACAGAAAAACGAAATACAAACAGAAAGCTCAACATTACCATTAAATAAGATCAGCAGTCTGAGCAGATGAACAGTCTCCATGAAGAGAGTAGTCACTGTACACCATTCAGTAAGTCACCTCTTAATTTCTGAAACACAGCAGCTGTAACAATGTGTCTACTGTTAGATCATGATGATTTTGTATTGTACTATTTCTGCACATTACTATGCTATTTTACACCCTGACACAGGAGACGGTGTTTAAAATACTGAGCAGACGTTTAATGATGTCTCGTATTTTAGTCATGTATTAGTAAGTCACCATGTCACTACGAATCCTCTTCACACTTAAAGGCTTCAAATACCTCCAGGCTTATTACAGTTCAGAAAAGGTATTCTTAAATCTCTGTTCATACCTGCACAGCCCATTATTCTCTAACATGTCATAGGGAAGCAAGTATTATGCTTTGAGAATTAAAAAAAAATAGTCACTGGATTTTATATTTTTCTTTGACTGATATGGACAAGAGGGCTTACCTTGCTAGATGAGTTGCTGTGTGAATGTGTCTGTGATGCTCCACTGATCTATTACTGGACTTACCAAGTCCACCACTTTACCACCACCTAATCCTCTCTACACCCCCTCTGCTCTATTCAGTCTTGAACAGGAAACTTGCTGGAGCTCATTTAAAGCAGTCAGCCTGGAAGACGAGAAAGCTTAAAAGAGAGGCTCTCTTGCCTGTTTCTAAAATCTCGTGTACTAAAGACTTGATGTACAGTACATGTCTAAAACACAGTGGCAAGGGTAAGATGCATTAAAGATATATTAAATACAAAATCGCAGATCGATGGAAACTTTCAGCTATAGACATTTTTCATGGCACACGTTTTGACATGTTATAGCAGGTCCAAGTGTCCCAGTGAGCCAGCATGTGCAATAACAGGACTCTGGATCCAACTCACCTAAATGCAATGCGTTTTTTATTTTTTTTATTTTTTTTTATGTTGTCAGTTACATTTCCTGAAATAACATACCAAATTGTCTGATGTGAAAAAAGTCCTGAAAGAATACACACCTGCAACTCAAGACCTAAAAGATAAGTTAATCAACTGTTATATTTGCAAAAAAAAATTAAAAATCCATCTCTCTCTTCATCTACATATATTTACAGTCAGCACAATTTAAACAGAAAAGCAAATGTTAAAAACAATCTGTAGAATAAAATATTATTTGCCAGACTGTCAAATAAATGTAAAACAGCAGCGTCTTAATTTACATATGACCAACATCCGCATAAAAGCAGAGAACAAATCTGAATATACGGCATTTTATAAAATTTTGCATGAACACAGTACGCCCTAGCAATAGTAAAAAATGTTCATTATTATGTAGAAAAAAAACCAAACTAAAATCAGTCATGAGCTGAAAAACAAATGCACGTAGTAATCCTGTTTTTTTTTTTTTTTTTTTTTTTTTTTTTTATTTCTATGTCGTAGTTTGGTTAAAAGCAACAACTACCAACAAAACAGTGACCTATTTGCTCTTAGCACTCTTGTCTTTGAATTTAACCTGAGCATATTCACATTCCACTTCCTCCTTCACAGTTTTAGGCTCCACTTCTTCATATAGGCTCATCTCCAGTGCGTGGCTCACAAAATTTCTGCCCATGTCTCCCACTATGCACCTCTCCTCCTCCAGATAGGAGGTACCAGGTGGAACCATGTCCACAGAGTCTTCTTGCTTCTTCCTGCTTTTGCTCCTCCAATTCACAGTAGAGTAAACCACATCACTCCCATCTTCATTCGTCTTCTCTGAGCTTTTACTGGCTTCTTCTGCATCGTTTGGTCCAGAGCTTGGCAAGTTGGTGCTGTTTGGTTCAGAGGTAGTTGCAGGTTGGGTGATGTCTCCCTGTCTCAGGCCATGGGTGTTGGCATAAATGTCCTCTTCTGTTGTGTTGGGTGCCTAAATTAAAGAACGAACATAAGTGGTGTAAATAATCTTTTTAATTACGTAAAATTTAAAACTGCTTGTCTCTAAATCAAGTTACCTCATTTCCCTCGCTTCTTGTTAGAAGTTGGTCCATAGCAAATGCGCTGGTGTCACCAGTACACTGACTCTCAGGAAGCTTATGATGAATCCTCTGAACCCTGAAAAATAAAGCAAAACAATGTACTTGGGTATATTTGATTCCTCTTTGTTTTTCCCATCTTCATCTTTGTTCGCAAAAACATATTATAGGAATGGGCTTAACCTCTGTAACTTTCATAAGAACCACTGCTACAAAGGTGGATCATATTAGTTTGCTAAAATTTTAGTATTGGTTTTTGACGAGAAACACAATAACTGACATAGCATTCAAGGGGCTGAGTCAAGTGGGCTTAAATTGCATGTGATTGGTAAAAACTCTCAAATGGAATGTTAAAACTAACCAATAGGGAAGTGATAGATAAGTGTTATATAGGGGACAGGTGTTACATATGCCAGTGTTAGCAATGATGATTAACTTAATAATTTTTTTTTTTATAGTTACTATTTGTCTATCCACAAGAAATAGCAGTGTTATTAAGTGTTGATTTTGGAGTCCCAATGTGATAAAAATTAACTTGTTGCTTTTGGACAAGATCTGGTCCATAGTTCAAAAATAAAAGTTTTGAATTTGTTCTGATGGAGGACAGTCCAGACAAACACTGCACAGAGTTACACTATTTCTACTCAAAAGGAGTCCAAGTAAAAGTTAATGAAACATTTTAGTGTCTAAAGCCGTTACCCTACCTGATAACTAACAGCAGAGCACATACTAGTACTAGTAGAGTGACGACTGTGGTGATGAAGACTGGCAGCGTCACTTGGACTGAAACATACAAGGACAATGGAAGAAGAGGATGAAGAAATAATTCGGGTACAAGTAATTTTCGTGGGTTAAAGTGTGGACATACATGAATGACACATAATGAATTTATCTTGGTGAGTTGTTACCTCAGATCATATGAAACATACTACAAAGTATACAAGTGTATATAAGTATTGAAGAATATATAAAGTACTGATGAAAGAAAATCTTCAAAACACACAAGTGAATAAAATTAGTTATGAACACCTCAAAGAGTCAGATATATGTATTTACACACACCTATACCATCCACTTTCTGAAAAGTTAGAAAAAGTGACTAAAGACTCAAAGACCAGACCAGTGGAACCATGAATCATTGAGAAAGGTGACATTGGCACTGATAGTGAAGTTGTAAACGGGAGCAGTCAATGAAAGTTGAGTTAAGTTAGTGTTGGTAGCTTATGCTTCTACCAAAATGCTTGCCATTAACTCCTTACTGAAACCATAAACTGTTTTTTATATATTTTCTTCAAGTGTATTGTTTCAAAAACATGTCCCAGTATAGCACAGTTGAAAATACAAAATTTACAAGAACAGCACTGAAACTCGGACTGAGGTCGACTGCATTTCATTAAAAGAAAAAAAAATTGGTGACTGGTTACAGTATATTACTATCCATGATTAACAATATTGATGTGGCAGTAGAAAAAAAAAATCAGGGCATTTCTGATTCATTATTTGAAACAAAGATTGAGGAAATACTTCGGTCAAATAATAAACATAAATCCATTAGGGTTTTGCTTATTCCTGGCCTGCACCACAGTATGCATATCGGTAGTCATTAACCAAATATATAAACAAAATTAAAAATAATTTGGAGTCTAGTTCACAATTCCTAACGGCTCCCAACTGACTAACATTTACAAGCGATACACATAAGACAGACCTTGACTTCCTGCAGAGGTTTGTTGCTCAAAGCTGGTGACACAGAAACGTTGACTGGCAGCTCCCAGAGAGTTGGAGCTGTGGCAGACCAAGGTGGAAAGATCGCCCCATTGTGGCTGACTCACAGTGATGACGCTCCTCACACCTGTGTCATTTAGCAACTCATCGCTGATTGCAAACTTGTCAGAGTGATCTACAGGTAGCCCATCCAAATTCCAGTGTAAAACAGGGGAAGGGTTTCCCACAGTCTCACAGGAACAGTTGACCTGGCTTACAGTTTTGGTGCAAACAGATGAGTGTAGAATCTGTGGAGGAACTGTAATAATGAGAAGACAAACAAGTGAGGAGTCAAGTGAAGCCATGTTGAACCAAGGTCACAGAATTGAGTGGTAATATGTACTGATATAACAAAATGATTAAGAATTAAGAACAGTAGCATCTTTAAGCCAGTTTACTGAAATATGTCAGGCAATAGAATTTTTGAATTAGTTTACTGAACTAGGCTTTACATAACATACAGATTTAAAACATGTTATACACACATTGAACATCTATTTGTCTGATGTTGGATCGTCCAGCTCCAAGAGAATTTTCAGCCATGCAGATAAAAGCAGCAGTGAGTTTAGAAGCTCTGATATTTAAAGTTTGTCCAGTCCCGATGAAAGTCTCCTGTCCTCCATCAGCTCTGTACCAGGTATAACTCCTGACTGCTGGTTTGGCATCACTAGTGCACGTCAGTGTCACATTGGTGTCCTCTGGCACTGGACCAGAGGGACGGACTGACACACTGGTGCTTTTTGGTGAATCTGAAACATGGAGAATAACTTTATTTGTACAGTGTTTCCTCTACATTCATTTAGCAGTGGCGGCCCGCCACTGCTAAATCATAGCCACCACCGCCACATCTGTCCACCTTCACAGCACAGCCTGTGTATGATGAGCGCAACAGCGGGGGAGGGAGGAGAGGGGAGGGAGTGGGCTGGTTGGGGGATCCTATTGGAGTTAATTACTCGCGAGAGCGCGGCCTTGAAAGTGACGTCACGTCAGGCACCAGGTCAGAGTCAGAGAAGTGTAGTCGTGAGGAATAAGGCAGCGAACTACCGGGAGAAAAGGTAGACTTATTAGCCAACTCAGTGACGCTAACTTGGGTAAACTAATTGATAGCATTAAGCTAATATCTACACGTCATTATGTATTAACTGCTGACTGCATTTTCAGATGAGCTTGTTCAGATACTTCTCTTAGAGAGAGAAAGACAACAGATGAAGAAGACGCTAGTCAGGTAGCCTATCATAAGCCTTTTACTGACTCGTAAATGATGATGGTTAGGTAAAAAATAATATTTTAATGTTCACACTTGTAATCAGATGTGATGTGAGTGTAAACTATATAACGCTGAAAATCAAGTGCTCTGAGCCTGGGTGCAAACTTTGCCACTGACTCTACAGCCCCATCTAGCTGATCTTTATATGTTTATTTATTATTTTTATTTATTAATGTTATTGTTTTATTTATTTTTTACTTTTTACATTTTCAACTGGTTAGAGTTGAAGTAACATTTATTTTCACAAACCAAAGCGTTAGTGAACCCCCCCCCCAGAGAGCATGCCCCCCACTGCTGAAAAAAATCCTAGAGGAAAGACTGTTGTATTATTTAATTATATAATTATCTGTCAATAAAAAGGTAATAAATGAAGCAAATCAAAGAGAATAAATTATATGTATTATTTATAGGTGTAACAGTCTATTGTATGTTCTTATATCTGTAATGAAGTAAAACCAGGTTATGTCAGAACAACCCACTGTAGGCTACACACATCCTTATCATTTACTACATTTGTGCTGGTGAAGTAAATGGTTTTCAAGACCAGTGTTACCCACATTTTACACATTCGACATTAAACAACAACATGTAGCTCATGTTACTTAACAGCCTGAAGAGGACACCACGGTTTGGGACGTAGGTCTGACTATACAAGACTACAGTTTGACTAATGTTACTGTACTGAATGGGTCTGGCAGTGTGTTGAGACAGTGATAATCCTGAACTTACCTCGGTCATAAACACAGGAGTGGGACGAGCAACGTTAGACTGGAGACAATGCAAATAAAACCTACAAAGTAACAGGTTGTACAGACTGGAGAGGACAGTTGTTTACAATCTGGTTTTGATTCTGATGCACGTCTGTATGAAGGCTGCTGTTTCCCAAAGTGACAGATCTGACATTCGAACTAGAGCTGGAAGTAACAATTATTTTCATTATCAAGTAATTTATTGATTCTTTTAAACTATTAATCGTTCAGTCTATAAAATGTTGGAAAACTGTCTTAAAAGAACCTGTTTTGTCTGACCAACTGTCCAAAACCCAGATATAGGATGAAGATAAATGAATCACTTATTCAATTTGTTGACAATTATTTTTCTATTGATTGATTAGTCAATTTATTGTTTAAGCCCTAATTCATACTAAATACAAGCAAAACATGGGATCAATTCAATTACAGTGTTTTTTAGGAGAGGACAAGTCAACTCACATGAAATATCAGCTGTTAAAACACTGCCAGCAGATGACGAAGAGCTGCCATCTTGTTTGTTGTAGGTGGCAGCACAGGAGATGGTCTTTCCATGATGGAGGTGAGAAGCAGTGAAGGTCAGAACAGAGGTCACGACTTTAGTTTTGTCCTGATTCTCTTGCAGTGTCTCCTGACTGTCCCCCAGCCTGGGGGTCCATGTCAGAGTTGGAGGTTGAGACAGACAGGGAGCTGGAGCAGAGCACTTCAACCTCACTGAGGTTCCCTCCGTCACCTCCAGTGTGGACGGAGTCAGAGTCGGTGAGGGAGGATCAGCTGGCAGGAAGTTACATTTCGAACTGTTACTAAATAAATGTTTTAAATTTCTGAAAGCTTCCTCATATGATTTGTAAAATGCAGTGAAAACAAAAAAATAAAGTAAATAAAAATGAGGACAGATCAGCCCAACAAATATAATTCATTCATGAATTATGTGTAAATAGATATAAAAACATACCTTTGACAAGAATATTCACAGAAACATCCTGAAAAGTCCATTTCAGTGGATTGTCACAATGCAGTCTGAAGTAATAGTCATTGGTGTGATCAAGATGCATATTATTGAAGGTTGTGGTGCAGTCTTTTCTTGTTAAGTCTCCTGTCATTTCTTTTGTTGTAGTTAGTTTTGGATTATCGCTGCTATAGATATTCTCATCTATGTTTTTCCATATGGCTTTACATGTGTTATCTAAGTCATTTTGATATGTGCTCGTTATCTCAAAGGAGCAGGGGATGGTCACACAGGATCCTTTCAGAACCTCTATAGTCTTCGGCAAAGTGACCGTAAACTGTTCACACAGGACGCCTGAAACACAGAGCACCGATCTTTAAAGAAGAAAAGGAAACAGTACTTTACAGTAGCAGTGTAGTTGTAATTCTGTGCTTGTTCTGCTCAACAACGATTATTGTTACTATATCATGATTTCAGGATAATTTTTTCATCATTTAGATAATAAAAAAACCCGTTTATCTCAGTTAAATTAAGAAAAGGCTGGCCAGAGATTTGGGTAGTTTACTGCGTCTTTCATTTTGTAGGAAATCATCCGGTCGTCACAGGCACTGACACCCTGTTCTCTGAATGCTTTAAACCAGCAACAGTGTGTTGTCATGATTTTAAATCATCTTTATAGTTTTCAATGCAGAAGTGAATGCACTTGAACTCACCGTTCAGCAGACAGCAGATGAGGAGGAAAGTCAGAGCTCCAGCCATCTTAGTCTGTTCAAGAGAGAGTCAAGTTTACAGGAGTCTGGAGCTTACAGATGGAAAACGTCACATTTGGTACATTTCCCCCTGTAAGCTGCTGAGAGCCAATGTCAAGATACAGCACTTATTTATCATTCACTGAGGAAAACTGTGTTTAATTATTACTTTTAAAATGAGCATTTTTTAAATATGAATTCATTATTTCATCAATTCAGTGCTATTTTGAAAGATTTGACAGACAACTTAAGTAATTGTGGTCATGGTGATTCATTAAAAGGCCAATGCTGCTTTATAATCTCACTATAGAGATAAAACCAAGATATCATATGCCAGAAAAATAGAGACAAGGATTTTACATACTCTATTGTTGTATTTGAAATCTACATATGTATCAGGTCACTAATTTACTCACGAGCAACAACCTCCAAACAACAACAGGCTGATGCCTTAAAAGTGTCCACATTAAGAAAAGAAAATCTCTCACCTATTGCAGTGGAATTGTGACTTGTTTACATCAATCTTTTTTTAACATGATAATTAATGTAAAGCCCAGAAAATGAAAGAATTAGAGGAAATCTTAGACTTGCCACTTGGTATTCATTAGTTTCATGACTTACATTTTCTTGAGGTGTATAGAGGAGCCCAGTTTCTCAGAAGTGAGGCTGAATTTTAAAGTGTTCAAGAAGTGACTTAAAAATGAGGAACTGACATACGTGTGAATTATACCCAAGATGAGATATACATGTAACCAGAAATAACTCTAAGCTGTACCACTCTGTTTTCTCACCTTCATCTCTGCAGGAAATCTTACATTACTAAATACATTGTAAACGTTTGTATTCACTTAGTGGTCGATGGGAAAATCTTTGGTTTAGTGAAAGTGAATTGTACACTCCAGCCAAATTCTCGTCTTTCTGCATCTTACACACTCAATCATGTAAAAATAATTGAATGAATGAATTTGGGACTGTTGGGCGAAGAAAACAAGCACAGACAATTTTCTGACATTCTATGAATCAATAATTAAAAGAATCATTTGCAGCCCTAATGGGCTTCACATCGCTGCAAAACCAGAGTGAGAAATTGGTCCTGGTTAATTTTACTTCAGCTCCATTCTCCTGATGTTTCCCACCTCTCCACTGCCAGTTTCAATAATATTGATAAAGGAGAAAATAACCATGCAGGAAGTATTTTTTGTGGTGATGTGACAATTTGACACTTGGTGGCTGTGTGTTCATATGTTTTAACTGAGGAAGTCAAAAGTGGGCGTAGACAATACAGTGAAAACAGCTTCTGTGATGGCAGTTTAAAAAACACTGTGACAAAGTTTGGTCATGTCAGGTTCAATGACGGTCATCAACTTTAAAATTGATCTTTCAATTAGTATTGAAATGTTTTGGGTTTCAGAGCAACTAAGACGGAGAGTATGAGGAGAACACATTGGGACACACTTGGATCAGTGACGTCTTTGTTCATTTTATTTTCACATCAGCTACAAATATATTGGATCAAACACATAATTACAATTATATTGATCTCACAGTCAAACAAACAAACAAAAAACCCAACACCTAATCAAGTGCTGAATTCAACAATTGCGTAATGGAGTTATTCAGCTTGGTGCACATGAAGAAGACACATCAATACACAATGGCTATACAGACCTACTGTAGAGATACATGTTCAGCCCTTTAATCTGAGAATGGAGACCTTTCACCAAAAGTGAAAACACCACCAGCTTGAAAAGCACCACATGGGTAAGAGTGTACCTTTGTGAGGAAGTTTAAACCAAAATTGAACATCATGAGCTGTTTTAAATTACATTAAATAGCTGTTGATGTTTTGTGCCCAACACCCTGTTGAAAATGGATTCATTACGTAACAGACAGAAGACATTGCAGCAAAGAGCAGATTGACAAGAGGAACGTTTGTTTCAAAATAAGCAATACAAGAAATCTTTAAGTAAAACGATCTGATAATTATCATGATCATCATCAGTGGAAGTCGGCCGTCACTTTCGAGTTTGGGCAATGACATCGTACTCTGAAGACATGTCTCTACGATCCAGTGAAATGTAAGTTGTGTCCTCTTCTTTTGGCTTCACATTCCTGCGTGCTCTCCTGTGGTGAAACAAAAGAAAAAAGGCATGTATAGCTCCTCATCTCAAATATTTTGTTCTAAAAACATCAGCTGAGCTTTCAAATTAAAGCAACATCACGTGTAATCACATACCAAAGGAATGCCATGAAGATTATACAGAAGACATTCACACAGAGAGACACACCAGCAACAGCCCAAGGAAGGACTCCACTGTGAGGTCCACCTGCCATGAAAGTTGGGAGTAAAAAACAAATCATCTCGCTTGGTGACTGATTACAGCATCTCATTATCCATGTTTAAGAATATTGATGTAGCAGTTGAAAAAAAATTCAGGTGCATTTTTTGATTCAGTGTTTGAAACAAAGATTGAGGAAATATTCAACTTTGAATAATAGAAATAAATCCACTAGTGTTTTGACCATTCCTAGCCATTAGCCAAATATATAATAAGATTAAACATAATTTAGAGTCTTTCAAGTTCACCACAATTCACCGCTAACATTTACAAGCGATACACATAAGACAGACCTTGACTTCCTGCAGAGGTTTGTTGCTCAAAGCTGGTGACACAGAAACGTTGACTGGCAGCTCCCAGAGAGTTGGAGCTGTGGCAGACCAAGGTGGAAAGATCGCCCCATTGTGGCTGACTCACAGTGATGACGCTCCTCACACCTGTGTCATTTAGCAACTCATCGCTGATTGCAAACTTGTCAGAGTGATCTACAGGTAGCCCATCCAAATTCCAGTGTAAAACAGGGGAAGGGTTTCCCACAGTCTCACAGGAACAGTTGACCTGGCTTACAGTTTTGGTGCAAACAGATGAGTGTAGAATCTGTGGAGGAACTGTAATAATGAGAAGACAAACAAGTGAGGAGTCAAGTGAAGCCATGTTGAACCAAGGTCACAGAATTGAGTGGTAATATGTACTGATATAACAAAATGATTAAGAATTAAGAACAGTAGCATCTTTAAGCCAGTTTACTGAAATATGTCAGGCAATAGAATTTTTGAATTAGTTTACTGAACTAGGCTTTACATAACATACAGATTTAAAACATGTTATACACTCATTGAACATCTATTTGTCTGATGTTGGATCGTCCAGCTCCAAGAGAATTTTCAGCCATGCAGATAAAAGCAGCAGTGAGTTTAGAAGCTCTGATATTTAAAGTTTGTCCAGTCCCGATGAAAGTCTCCTGTCCTCCATCAGCTCTGTACCAGGTATAACTCCTGACTGCTGGTTTGGCATCACTAGTGCACGTCAGTGTCACATTGGTGTCCTCTGGCACTGGACCAGAGGGACGGACTGACACACTGGTGCTTTTTGGTGAATCTGAAACATGGAGAATAACTTATTTGTATTATTTGTATTATTTAATTATATAATTAACTCAATTAACTCACATGAAATATCAGCTGTTAAAACACTGCCAGCAGATGACGAAGAGCTGCCATCTTGTTTGTTGTAGGTGGCAGCACAGGAGATGGTCTTTCCATGATGGAGGTGAGAAGCAGTGAAGGTCAGAACAGAGGTCACGACTTTAGTTTTGTCCTGATTCTCCTGCAGTGTCTCCTGACTGTCCCCCAGCCTGGGGGTCCATGTCAGAGTTGGAGGTTGAGACAGACAGGGAGCTGGAGCAGAGCACTTCAACCTCACTGAGGTTCCCTCCGTCACCTCCAGTGTGGACGGAGTCAGAGTCGGTGAGGGAGGATCAGCTGGCAGGAAGTTACATTTCGAACTGTTACTAAATAAATGTTTTAAATTTCTGAAAGCTTCCTCATATGATTTGTAAAATGCAGTGAAAACAAAAAAATAAAGTAAATAAAAATGAGGACAGATCAGCCCAACAAATATAATTCATTCATGAATTATGTGTAAATAGATATAAAAACATACCTTTGACAAGAATATTCACAGAAACATCCTGAAAAGTCCATTTCAGTGGATTGTCACAATGCAGTCTGAAGTAATAGTCATTGGTGTGATCAAGATGCATATTATTGAAGGTTGTGGTGCAGTCTTTTCTTGTTAAGTCTCCTGTCATTTCTTTTGTTGTAGTTAGTTTTGGATTATCGCTGGTATAGGTATCCTCATCTATGTTTTTCCATATGGCTTTACATGTGTTATCTAAGTCATATTGATATTTTCTCAGTATCTCAAAGGAGCAGGGGATGGTCACACAGGATCCTTTCAGAACCTCTATAGTCTTCGGCAAAGTGACCGTAAACTGTTCACACAGGACGCCTGAAACACAGAGCACCGATCTTTAAAGAAGAAAAGGAAACAGTACTTTACAGTAGCAGTGTAGTTGTAATTCTGTGCTTGTTCTGCTCGACAACGATTATTGTTACTATATCATGATTTCAGGATAATTTTTTCAACATTTAGATAATAAAAAACCCTGTTTATCTCAGTTAAATTAAGAAAAGGCTGGCCAGAGATTTGGGTAGTTTACTGCGTCTTTCATTTTGTAGGAAATCATCCGGTCGTCACAGGCACTGACATCCTGTTCTCTGAATGCTTTAAACCAGCTAAAACCATAGTTTTCAATGCAGAAGTGAATGCACTTGAACTCACCGTTCAGCAGACAGCAGATGAGGAGGAAAGTCAGAGCTCCAGCCATCTTAGTCTGTTCAAGAGAGAGTCAAGTTTACAGGAGTCTGGAGCTTACAGATGGAAAACGTCACATTTGGTACATTTCCCCCTGTAAGCTGCTGAGAGCCAATGTCAAGATACAGCACTTATTTATCATTCACTGAGGAAAACTGTGTTTAATTATTACTTTTAAAATGAACATTTTTTAAATATGAATTCATTATTTCATCAATTCAGTGCTATTTTGAAAGATTTGACAGACAACTTAAGTAATTGTGGTCATGGTGATTCATTAAAATGCCAATGCTGCTTTATAATCTCACTATAGAGATAAAACCAAGATATCATATGCCAGAAAAATAGAGACAAGGATTTTACATACTCTATTGTTGTATTTGAAATCTACATATGTATCAGGTCACTAATTTACTCACGAGCAACAACCTCCAAACAACAACAGGCTGATGCCTTAAAAGTGTCCACATTAAGAAAAGAAAATCTCTCACCTATTGCAGTGGAATTGTGACTTGTTTACATCAATCTTTTTTTAACATGATAATTAATGTAAAGCCCAGAAAATGAAAGAATTAGAGGAAATCTTAGACTTGCCACTTGGTATTCATTAGTTTCATGACTTACATTTTCTTGAGGTGTATAGAGGAGCCCAGTTTCTCAGAAGTGAGGCTGAATTTTAAAGTGTTCAAGAAGTGACTTAAAAATGAGGAACTGACATACGTGTGAATTATACCCAAGATGAGATATACATGTAACCAGAAATAACTCTAAGCTGTACCACTCTGTTTTCTCACCTTCATCTCTGCAGGAAATCTTACATTACTAAATACATTGTAAACGTTTGTATTCACTTAGTGGTCGATGGGAAAATCTTTGGTTTAGTGAAAGTGAATTGTACACTCCAGCCAAATTCTCGTCTTTCTGCATCTTACACACTCAATCATGTAAAAATAATTGAATGAATGAATTTGGGACTGTTGGGCAAAGAAAACAAGCACAGACAATTTTCTGACATTCTATGAATCAATAATTAAAAGAATCATTTGCAGCCCTAATGGGCTTCACATCGCTGCAAAACCAGAGTGAGAAATTGGTCCTGGTTAATTTTACTTCAGCTCCATTCTCCTGATGTTTCCCACCTCTCCACTGCCAGTTTCAATAATATTGATAAAGGAGAAAATAACCATGCAGGAAGTATTTTTTTGTGGTGATGTGACAATTTGACACTTGGTGGCTGTGTGTTCATATGTTTTAACTGAGGAAGTCAAAAGTGGGCGTAGACAATACAGTGAAAACAGCTTCTGTGATGGCAGTTTAAAAAACACTGTGACAAAGTTTGGTCATGTCAGGTTCAATGGTTCAATTCATCAACTTTAAAATTGATCTTTCAATCAGTATTGAAATGTTTTGGGTTTCAGAGCAACTGTCAGAGCTCTAAAGGGGCGTAATTATCCTTTTAATTTGAGCTGTTTTACTCTGATATCAAAGTGAGGAGAAGTTGTTTGGAGTTTACTGTAGTGACAGAATAAAGACAGAAGGATGCGACAGTTACATATTTAGTGCAGCGGAGGATTTGGAGCTGATTTTTCAAGGACCAGATAAAAAACACCCATAAATTCTGCTGCAGAGAATGAGCATATCTCATGAACAGATAAAGATAGAAACTTCAAATCACCTCTAGAACAACTCAAACAAATAAGTACAATTTTTTAATGGGCTATTAACCTGTGTTATACTGTACAGAAGTCTTTATTGTTTGACATTTATTATTAGCTGAAGTTATGCTGATTCTGAATATGTGTAACACTTGGTGAAACTGTTAAAAATGACAATTTTATTAGGAAAAACACAAAGTTATAAAAAAAAAAAAAAATGAAAAAATTTAATTGTGGGTCTAAACTGACTCAGAAATTTGGAATCTGGATTTCGACTGCCGCTTGAAACAAATAACAGCTAATAATAACAAATAATCAATGCAGTCATGCCACAATAAATACAGCTGTAGAAATCAAATCAAATTGACATTTACAATTCAGACATTCAGTCTCATGGTGTTATAAGACACCATAATAATGTCTAAACATCCATGAGAGCATCTTTTGAAACTGAAAGAACTGACATTAATTTTCCATTATCATACATTTGGGGAAAACACAATTACACTGACACACTTATGGCTTTATTTTCCAGTTCAATCTCATAAAAAACGTCATTTTTGTGAAACTGTTCGACAGGTGTTAAGTAGAGTCTGTGGTCGTTTCTGAGGCAGTTATTTACAGTGTTGATAACATACATGACCAATTTATGTATGTGCACGTAAGGGACAAAACACTGGAAATATAATGTCATGCATAATAAATATCAAAAAAACACCAACACAAAAATACAGTTTTAAACAAATATTAAACAGAGCAAAGTCTGTTGGTTCATGATATTGTCGTCTCTCTAAAAGTTAACTTGGTCATATACAGTACACACTTCCTCCCTCACATCTTCCAGTCTTCGAGGCGTAATGTTGTCATAAACGCTCTCCATCTCCAGTGCGTAGCTACCAGATGGATTCCTGTTCCCAGATCGTCCTCTGGCCTTCTTTGTCTTGCTCTTCCAAATCACACTGGAGTAAATCACATCACTGTCGTCCTCACTCTTGTGAGGATGTCTCAGTTGAGTGTTTGGTTTATCTGACATTATCATCGTATCTGTGTTGACATAAATATCTTCTGGTGTGATCGATGCCTGGGGACAAAAAGAAAAAAATAGAACATCACTGGTACCAATATTCTGCTATATGTTCCCGTTTAATACCTAAATTAGTAAAATGTCTGCACCTCATTTTCTCTTTCACTTGTCAGGCCTTGACTCATCATGGTTGTACTGGTGTCGTCTGTGTACTGTCTCTTTGTAGGATTATGGCAGCCAGTCCTCTGAGCCCTGAAAAACACAGTAGGACACCCCATCCAACTTTCATGGATTTACTCCTCCCAACTTAGGTTTTCAGTCTGCTCATGTATTCGCTGATTGAACGGAGAAGTGTGATCAGTGAGAAAAGTTAAAAATGAGGGAAGACAAACTCAACAAAACAAGCATGTCTGAAACATTGCTAATACAGATAAAATCACATTCTTCAAATATTGAGGTTTTCAAAGCAAAATGAGACACCTGACATACTATAGCTTTAAAGGTCCCATATTGTGTAAAAAGAGATTTCCAGGTCTTTTTTTCCTTTCATTAATACTGTGTATCAAAGCGCTCAGTCCACAGAGAAATGCACACAGCCTATATTCAGAAACTGAGCCTTAAAATGAGCTGTCCGGAAAAAAAAGAAATCTCAAAAAATGATTTAAATTGTTTATTGTTAGTGGGATTGTTGGGCACTAGGATTTTATTTAGTGTTATATAAAGATAAGTTCTTTCTCATGAAATGTAATAATGTATTCATTATTTTTGCAGGTATCAGAAATAGATTTTGGTTCATTTTGAGGTTAGTCAATTGGCAGAGTAGTAAAAGCTGGAAAAGAAACTGGTTTTGAAAAACACTAGTAATAGTTTACTAGTAGTAGTACTAGTCTCAACCACCATGGTTTCTCAAGCTGATACCTACCTGATAGCAAAGAGTACAGCAGATACCAGAGCTGCGGTCAGAACACCAACAGTGATGATTAAGATCTGCAACGTCACTTCATCTGAACACTCTGTGCAAGAGAGAGTACAAGATTACAGAGGTCAGTGACTGGTATTTTTGGTATTTGGATATATAAGGAGCTTGATTGGTTGTCGTTAGAGGTATATATGTACTTTTCTTGTATCAAAGTTTGACATTCAGTGTTCCAAGAGTGTTACAACATATAGTTATACTGTTGGGAGCTTGCAAGGCAGGAAACATTTAAAAACAGAAACAGTAAATATAAATATTGTGTAGATATAGAGAATATAGCACTTCCAGATCATGTTCATTTGAATTCCATGAAATCCTGATAGTTTGCAGCTAATCAGTGAAACTTGTGTTCGGCAGAAAGACGAACCTGCACTTTCTTCACGCACGAGGCTGAAAACATAAAACCACTGAGTAACAGATCCCAGGGAGTTGGTGCTGTGGCAGAGGAAGGTGAAAGCATCCCTCTCGAATACTTGACTCACAGTGATGAAGCTCCTCAGAGTTGTGTCATTCAAGTCCTCATACTTGTCAGACTGATTAAGGTTCAACTCATCTGAATGCCACTGTAAAATGGGGGTAGGGTTCCCCACAGTCTCACAGAAACAGTTGAGCTCGGCTTCAGTTTTCGTGCAGCCAGAAGTGGACAGTATCTGCGGAGCAACTGTAAAGAATGGGGGTTCGGGGTTAAAAAAGGGAGGTTAAGTTATATAATAATAATAAGAAGTAAATACAAGGAAACATTAAAAGAAGAAGAAACTCCTGCTATTTGACTGCTGCACAAGAGGAGTAAAGAGGCATGTGTCGAACTGATCAGCAAAGCCCCGATCACAGAGGCTGACAAATGTGTGTTCTCTTCATTAAACAGCCTTAAACACACAGTAACAGTGTCAGCTGTCATACTTTAATTATTTATAAACTATCATTTCTGCAGTCAAACCATCCACAGTCAATGTGATATAAAACCAGCTGTAGCTAATTCTGCCCTCTGAGCCAACTGGGCGGTTTCTTTAGGACAGCATAATGAAGATTTTCCGCACATTACCATCTTCTCATAAGCTGTCAGACGTTGCAGTATGTTCTCTGCCCCACTGACGTTGCTCAGAAACCCATCTACTTCACCAGCAGGTCGGCACGTTCTTTTAATACGTAATGGGTCCACAATCAATATAATGAAGAAGTCAAATAGCATCACCTACAGGGTGATGCGGCACTGAAATGCAGTTGGTGTTTCCCAAGATGAAAAAAAAATGTATAATGCTACAGATGAATCTGAATGTGACAAATGCACTCACATGAAATATCAGCTGTTAGACTTGTGTTGGCAGTAGACTTGGTGCCATCTTGTTTGTTGTAGGTGGCAGCACAGGAGATGGTCTTTCCATGATGGAGGTGAGAAGCAGTGAAGGTCAGAACAGAGGTCACGACTTTAGTTTTGTCCTGATTCTCCTGCAGTGTCTCCTGACTGTCCCCCAGCCTGGGGGTCCATGTCAGAGTTGGAGGTTGAGACAGACAGGGAGCTGGAGCAGAGCACTTCAACCTCACTGAGGTTCCCTCCGTCACCTCCAGTGTGGACGGAGTCAGAGTCGGTGAGGGAGGATCAGCTGGCAGGAAGTTACATTTCGAACTGTTACTAAATACACAGTCATTAGCTTAAGATTGTTTATTTGATTTGCAATACCCAGTAAATCCACAACATGGGTGGAAAGAGATCATGAATTGTCAGTTAATCAATATCAAAACTTACCTTTGAACAATATATCCACCATCTGGTTAGCCTTATTAAAATTATATTTGAGTTTATTACACTCCAGTCTGAAGTAATATGTGTTGCTGGTATCAGGAACTATGTTACTCAAGGTTGTGGTGCAGTCTTTTTCTGTCAGTGTTCCCTTCAATTCACCATTTATTTTGGTTTGTTCAGCACTATTAAACACATCTTGGTCATTACTTTTTCTTTTCCATATTGCTCTGCATGTCTTATCCAAATCTTTTTTAGATAGTTTCTCTATGTCAAAGGAGCAGGGGATGGTCACACAGGATCCACTCAAAGCCTTTATAGACTTTAGAATAGAGACCTCGAAAACCTGACACAGGACACCTGAAACACAAAAAACAATCTTGAAGAAGAGTACATACAACTTAACAGTTGCAAGGCCATTTTACTCTCTAAAGTCTTGGCACAATAAAATATCCATAAAATCATACAAAGTGACAACTCTAAATGTTATGGGTATATTTCGATGTATACAGAACAGTAAAAGATGTATAGATGTATAGTTTCTCATCAAATTTAAAGAAATCTTGTCTCCCATCTCACCTTGCAGCAGACAGCCAGTAAGAAGAAGATTCAGAGCTCCGGCCATCTTTGTTTGTCAGGAGAGGCAGAAACTCCAGTTTAAAACTGTCTGGAGATTGTAGATGGAACATGTTTTACATGGTTAACATGTTTGTTACATTTAAGCCCTAACGTAGTAGGATTTTAGAGCAGGGTTTATTTCAAGGCCAGTACTGAAGTGGTCATATTTATTTTACATATTTAAAAAAAAATTTCATCAAGGTGGAAAAGCAACAATAACATGTAGGTGAGCCACTAAACTTTCCAACAGAATCTTACACAAATTAAATTGTATGTGATTCACACAATGTGAAGGCAAAATATGAAGGCAAAATGATTCTGTACACCTGTTTATCACTTGAGAGAAAAACGGTAATAGATTACTGCTTTGAAAATAAGTATTTGTAAAACTGCCATTAAACAATTCTATGACTAATTTTATAAACATTTCTCGCAAATTTGACAGATTTTATGAAATTTCGATCATGGCAACAATGAAAGGGAAGAAACATGAACTGTTGTGGAAAAACAAGCATCTGCTTGTCACACATTTCCTAACATCCTAACAAGATAGAGAGATATTTAGACATAAAGATAAAAAGGAATCAACAGGAAAGTGAAAACTTTTTTTTTTTTTTTGTTTTATTTAAACAAATATTTTTTAATGAACTAATACAGACAAAGAAGGATTTATTGCATGACTGTTGCATTAGACTGCATTAGTTTTAACCAGGTTTCCCTAATAAACTGCCAACTAAGTGTATATTCAAGAGCAATGCCTAAAAATTTCTCTCATCTTTCAGTGACTGTTAGCAAATTTTCTTGCTTTCCTCTCTAAATTTACAAATATTTCATGATTGATCTAAAGCCCAGTGAGTCAAACTTAAACTCTATCAAAAACGAATGCTATCTTAATCTTAAATATGATTCTTCTGAAATTAAAATGACTTACGTTCTTATTAGCTCTGTTATCCCAATAGATGAAGGATGCAAAAGCAAGTCCAGTTCCTAAGAAGTGAGTTTGCAACTTCAGTTTGGAGGAATTATGCTGAAAATTAGGAACTTGCACAACAAATGTAAGTAGGGGCATTATCTTTGCACCACATTTTTTACCACATAGCTACAAAGTTTTCACTTAATATGAGCATGTATAAACTTGTAGTCACTTTACAATAATAACCTTTGGCCCCTGTGTTGTTTTGACAGCTTAAAGAACAGACATTTACACAGTTAAATCTTAACAGACAGAGACAGAGAAGAATCTTATCAGAGAAGTTGTCAGTGTCATTTCAACTATTAAATTATATTTAATTTACATTGTCTTCACGTCCTCCTTGTGTTTACTCTTCCATTTACCACAAATTGGGTTTGCACATTTGGTAAGGGTGGCAAAATGCAGAAATTACCATTATCATTACACCAAAGAATGATCCATATCATGTTTACTTTGCATGAACAAATATATAAATTACATTTGTTTTGTTTTGTTTTGCCTAAAACAATCACAGAGAGGTCTAACTCCAGGGAGACCTCTCATGAACTGTGAAAACTGTTATAAAACACCAACAAAAGTGTAAATAGACTTATTTGGGATTTGGAAGGGGAGTGCTGCACTAAAAGTACTGTCAATCACAAATAGAGAATGTGATAATCCATTATTGTGTGTGTGTGTGTGTGTGTGTGTGTGTGTGTGTGTGTATTTTTACAGCAGACTTCTGAAAGAAAAAAAAATGGTGTTATATCAAAGTGTGTTTTTGAGCAGTTATAAAGAGCTAAGAGAGCCCGCAGAGAACATTAGGGTCAATATGAATCACACTCTTACTGATAGAAGTCAGAGTGTTAGTTGACTCATGGTGGGTGAGATAAACATCTTGTACTTCAGATAGAGCCCTGTACTCACACAAAATACACTAAATAACTTGAAGTCATCTCTGTCCAGTCATATCCGTTGAAGTTTTGAGCAACTCCACAATCTTTGTATGGAGCTCCTTGGCTTTTTCTGCATTCTCTCCTTTCTCCACCTGTTCTCCTGCCAACTTGAGCCCCTTTAGCACTGACTGCAGGGCGTCTGCATTCTTCACTGAGTCCATCTGGTCTCTGTCAACCCGGATCTCCTCCACCCAGTCCAGGTAGGCCTGAAGTAACCCAAGGTCATCCACAAAGTTTGCAATAATCCGGAGTCCCGGTCGACTTTGCCCCAGCTCCTTCAGCCTCCTCCTCCCCTTATCTCCGATGTCATTCCCAACAATGCTGTTGAAGGAGAAAATGACCAGGTAGGAGTTATAATTTTTCATTCTGATAAGTCACACTAGGTGGCACTGTCTCAAACATTATAACTCTGAGAACACTACAGAAGTTGGTGTGTTTTGATCTTACGTCAGTGTCTTCAGAGAGGTGTTTTTGCTGAGGCAGTTGACTATGTTTTCTGTTCCTCTTTCTGTGATGCCAGTGATGTCCAGATAGAGTTCCTCCACAGTGGTGTTGTGCTCCAGGGCGTTCCACAGCTCCAAAACCCCCTCTGGGCCCAGGTTGTTGCCACACATACTGTATACATGAATGGAAGAACTGTGATGCAGTTAAATACATCAAGTATAGTGTCTAATGACTCATATCAAGGGCTTGGAGCCAGATGAGTCAGGGTGTCTGCAGGTCTTGAAGTATCAAAAAGCACTGAAAAAACCCCCCACTAAATTCAGTTCCCTCAGAGAACGGTCTTAGAAGGTCTTAAGAGGTCTTGAATTTCATCCGCTGTAGACTGAAACATTAGTTATGACTTTTTATAATGTAGTTACAGGCAGGCTGTCAGGAGACTTATTACTTACAAGCGAGACTGGTATGTCAATGGTTTGTGCGCAAAGGAGGTTGAAGTTTCAGTCACAATGACTTTCCATAATAAATAATGACTTAGACTAATGTGTCCATTCAAGCATTTGCTAACTTATGCATTTTATGACAGTTACATCCTCATAGTGCTGAGCCCCTTAATGTATAATTTGTGGTGGTATGCTAGTTGTAATAAATACTTACAAGAGCTTCTTCACTTGACACTCATTTGATCTGAGAATCGCAGACTCTAAAATAGCTGCTTGTCTATCCAGGCAGTTGTATCTCAAACTGTAAGAGAATAGAAAAACATTAGGGTGACATTATTTTTGACAGTCCATTCATTCTCAGATGTTTGAGATAATATGCATTTCCAAAACTGGTCAGGTTCACAGGCAGGCTGCAGTCTGTCATAGCATGCATTAGACTGAAGGTGGAGTTCACTAAGGTTGCCAGTGTATCTCAAGCAGCATTCAGACAGACAAGCATGCACTCACAGGGAGAAGATGCAAACTCCACACAGCCAGGAAATTCAAAACCAGGCTTGCTTTTAATGCCCAGTATTCAAATGGTTACTCTTATTTATTTGACAGTTCAATATCAAATCAGTCACTCACTAGAGAGATTCACAGCGATGTAGGATTGGCCCCAGTCTGTTCAGTCCTCTGTTTCCAATGTTGGAGTAGCCTAAGTTGAGCTCCTGCAGCTTGTGTGGTGAAAACTGCAGCACATAGTGCATTGCTGCACAGTCCACGACGCTCAGCTTCATTTTAAACAGGTTGAGGGTCTTGATCTCTGGCGCTGCAATACTGGTAGCTTCCTTCATGTGAAACTCCGTCAGGCAGTGGAGAAGATTCAGGGCTGTCTGGTTCTCCAGCTTCCTGCCTTTAAACTGGTCTTGAAACCACACACCGAGCCTGGTGGGGATGCCATCCCCGTGCTCCATCGGGGAAAGAACGAGGCCATCCAACTGACCTGCCAGCCGTGCTCGCAGTAATCCCATGAAGAAGCGTGTGAACATCTGGAGGCTCTCCAGCTTGTCCATGTTGAGGTCTGTGTTTTGCAGGGGTGCGGCAATGGAAGATGGAGGATGTACCCCAAAGCACCAGAAGTCGAGAGCTTGGATTATGTCCTCCTCGCTGAAGAGGTTGATTGAGCAGTAGAGGGCAGCCAGATGTTCTTGAACAGTCAAGTGGAAGAAAGAAAACATCTCCACCGTCTCCTCCTTGAGAGGCTGGAGGATGTGACTGAGAAATGTGCTCTGAACATCAGCAGGTGTCACACCATAGTTCTCCAAATCCGCTCTGGTGAACATTATCTTCTTCTGTAGAAGGTTTTCATAAGCCAATTTACCCAGGTTTGTCAGTTGTTGCTTAGCTAGTGAGAGAACCTCGGATCTAGGTGTGCTTCTCTCAGCACTCCCCCTCAGTGCATGGTGCTTGACTGCTGTGAACAGGTAGCAGAAGTAAACCTCGCTGACTGTTCTGGGCGGGTTCAGCTCCAGTGATTTCGAGTCACCAACATCGTGAGTCCCTGAGGAGAAGAACTCAGCCATCGCGGTACAGATGATGTAGCAATAAAGAGGGATGAAGGACAGCACGAAAAGGTTGTCATTGTTCAAGATGTAATCGTAGACTTTTTCAGCAACTTTGCTGTCTTTGTAGAACTTGCTGGTATATTCCTTCACCTGGTTCTCCTCAAAGCCCAGCACCACACAACATCTCTGGAAGAAATGCTTGGGAGCTTCAGTAGATGGTCTTGTCGTGAGGATGACTGATGCCTCTGGGAGAAAGCTTCCCTTGATTAAAGCCACCATCAGCTCTGCCACTGGCACCTTCAAATTTACGTCAATGTTTTTGCCAGGACTGTTCCAGTCCAAGGGAAAATTGAACTCATCTAATCCATCTAAGATGAAGAGCAAAGAGCTCGGTGAGGCGAAAAGATCAGGTAAAACTGCCTTCAGGTACCGGAACCGTTCCCCAAGGAGCTCCATTAAGCTCAGTGGTGCTTCAATCAGATTGAGCTCTCTGAAGCGCAGGTCAAAAACACAGGTGAATTCACGCATGCTCTTCCCGATTGCCCACTCATAAACGAGCCTCTGTACTGCTATGCTCTTTCCGATACCAGCAATACCCTTCACTTTAACCCTTTTGGGGGACCTTCCTGATGTTCCTTCGGGGCTCAATAGATGGCACGGCCGGATGCGCTGGCAGGCCTGATGCACATAGATGCGAGCTCGTCTGCTCGCCAGGTCAAAGTACTCATGTTGGCTGCTGTCAACTAAGTCATTATCTTCTGTTACGAAGAGGTCAGTGTAGCGAATCTCGATGTGAGAGGCTGAGTTTGAAGCCACTCCCTCACCCTCTGAGTAACACTTCAACTGCTCTGTGCGTTTCAGTAGGGTTGTTTTATGGGCAGAGATGGGAACTGCAGTGATAGACAAGAAAGTGAAATATATGGTCAAATGAAATTACTCTTCCATTTTCTGTAAGATAAACATGTGGCTTATCACCACAAGTTCACTTGTAATGACATACCTCGAATGCTGGCCAACTTTACACTCCTGCCAGGTTTCAGTTCTTCTTTAGCTGCATAATGAATAGATTGTGAGATCATTTCATTTGAATACATTTTCAATTTATTACAAGTCATGGGTAAATTACATGGTTACCTTCATAAATGATCATTTATTTAGCGATTTTTATCACTAGAAAGAAAATGCAATATAAATAATCTATGTATTCTAATATATATCTGATATATCCATACCTTTAACCTCAGGAGTTGGGGTAAATCTCTTGCTTTTTCCTTTGAGCAGTTTAGCAAATGGGCCTTTAGGCTTCTTATCTGTGGATACCACACATTCAAATAATAAACAACAGATATGATATATATATTGTATTACATGTTGTAAATTATGTTAATAAACACCAAACCACAGCAATCCACCTGGCAGTTGTTGAGACTTATCACTCAAGACAACAAACCACAAATATCTGTGCTAAATTTGGTGCCATTCATCTAGATTGAGCTATTTCACTAAATAGGTGAAAATTTTGAGCTGCTGGCGACGCTAGAGGAAAAGTCAGGGGATCGGCAAAGTCACTAGGATTCATTCTCAGGGACCGTGAATGTCTGTACAAGATGTCATGGAAATCCATCCAATAGTTGCTGAGATGCTTGAGTCTAGACCAAAGGTGGACTTTTATACATTTACACTTCTTCATTGCCAAAGTCAGCAAAAAAATTACTTGGCAAGACATCATAGTTGATTGTGCCCTGTTAATAATTTTCCCACACCTCTGTTACTCAGCCAGTAAAATTTGATTGCCTTTAGTCCTTCACTTTGCCCTGCAAGGTTTTGAAAAATATTATTATTTACCTCTCTTCTAACTTTGAACGCACCTTTTTACATAAATACTCAAGCTAATCCACCACAGTCATCATCACCTTCCTCACCTTCAACTTTTACAGGTTCAGCCACTGGTTTACTGACAGCATCTCTTCTGCAATGTCTCTCCACCCAGACCTGCAGATCTCCGCAGTAATAATCCTGCACCTCCCTCAGCACCAGCAGGAACTTTTGGCTGCTCTCTTCCGTGGCACATACTGTCTCTAGAGCCTGGGCCACAGCATTGACAGGGGACCTCTCCAGCAGAGAAAGGTACTGGGGGGAGGATAGCACCTCAGCATCATGCAGCCAACGCAGCAAGGGCGCTGGGTGATCACACGTCCAGTTCAGCAGCAAGTCTCTCTGAGACCGAAGCAGCTGCTGAGCCGAGGCCATGACTACGGAAAATGGTGCTAGACTTTCAGGAAGAATAAAGCAAAACAAGGTTTGATTCTAATAATGATTCAAGCTTTAAAAGAATGGTTACCACACTCAGTTCTCACACACACTCTGCAAACTGCACACTCATGGAACATGGAAAACAATAAGGAATTCTGCACAAATACCATGCACATTGATTGAAATGCTTACCTTCAAAAATATTTTCTTGTTATGCTCTGTTTCTTTCCCTCTTGTCTGCTTTGGTCAGTGCCGTCATGAGCATTGGCACGGAAGCTGTTTGTGTTCTGTCTTAAGGTGCTGTGAGGTGGATTGCCATGAGCAACTCAAACAAGCTTTCAATGGGTCCATAGTCCATACAGTTCAAGTCTTTGTCTCCTGACTGATAACACAGTTCTGTTTGATCCCACAGAAACTTGCCAAACACCTTTAGGTGGCAGTGAGTGTTGCATATGTTGCACATAATATTTTGTGACTTCAAAATCCAATCTAATGCTGAAAAATTAAACGGACAGTCACAATTTATACATATATATATATATATATATATATATGTGTGTGTGTATTTAAACATATTGTTTGACCAGCTGTCTATTGTAGTGTAAACCATTCTGAACCCTCTGTTGTAATGCAAAAGTTTTAGCATGCCACCTTTTGCCTCCTTTTTACATAACAGAGATGACCCACCATTTATTTATTTATTGTCAACAATAAATCAATGTTGGGTCGGAAAGTTAATCATTAATAAGTTTTATTCTACTTTCTGTGGAACTTTTTATTTCCGTCACTTCTGTGACACTGTCAGACGGTCTGTGTAGACAGAGGGAATCAGAAATGAGCACATTTAGTCGTTGGAGCTTTTGAGGAAATGGGCAACAGCATGTGAGTGATTCACCCATTGTCATGTGTTGTCTCACAAATACTTGCTGAGGTCTTTCTTTCCCTAGCAAACAATCCCTCATTCCACCACTTAAAAGATTATATTTGAGTCTTTTGAAATGTTTGTTGTAAAAAAGTTGTAACTCTATCATTTATTTATTCTGAAAGGATACTGCCAACCATTAGAATATAACTCAAAGGAATGAAATGAATTAATATACAAACATAACATTGGAAGTTTAAGAGGAGCCATCAAAGTGAAGTCATAGTACCAGTGGCACAATGACATGACCCCCCCCCCACACACACACCCCACCCCCCACACTCATCCTTCCCTCTGTCTGTGCTGGCAGAGCAGGGTTGCAGTCATGCATGTGGACACTGTCTCTCTTGTGTGTCCCCTGATTTTTGGTGAGTAAATCGACCCATTATTTAAGTTTTTATGCATTTACTTTGGATTTTTGTTTGAATTTAAGGGACTTTTATTACTCAGGGATGTAATGCCTCAGTGAAGTTACAGTCTCTGATACCACTGACTTTACCATAATTATTACAGTAAGAGAAGTAGAGATTGTTATTTACTATCTGCAAATGTCTCCTGTCGAGTATACTGTGCTGGTCAATTACATTATATTCATAGATAGGAATCCGTTCTGTTGCTTTAAAAATGATCTGCTTGTGAATTTTCTCCATGAAGTGGTTGACAGTTTGAAAATAAATATGCAAATGTTCCCTAAAATAATGAAGATAATTCTAATTCAATTATTTGACCATGTAATATTCACAGAGTAAAAAAAAAAAAAAATAGTAGTAGATTAGTTCTAGAGCCAAAAGTGCAACTGCCCTCTTCCTTTTTTCTAAATATACATCTGTTGCGAAATGGTTCTGGGTCATGTTATGCATTTGCAGACAGTACAGTGAAATACAACAATTCCAACCTCATGCTAAATGAAATCTGTCCTGCATGCTGAGCTTCCTACAAGATTCATTCAGTGACAGTTTTTTGAATGAAAGTGAAGA